TTTTTTTTTTCGAGGAAATTTTCAGTATGGAACGCGTCTAGAAAATAGTTCTCTTGGTAGTTATTTGGTGGTACTAGTGTAGAGTAACAGTCTCTACTCATCAGTAGGTACGCAACATCGATTCGACTGGATCTGTGTGTATGCACTGCTTTTTTAATGACTTCAACGCATTGCGGAAGTGGAATAAAAAAAAAAAAAAAAAAAAAAAAACTCAAATATCTGTTTCGTTGATATCATCTTATAATTGTTTGATGCAAAATACTTTGTTCTTGTCAGGCGACTAACGCTACCCTGGAAAGATCACCACAATTCACGGGCGGTAAGATTTTTATCTACAACTCTCTAACCAACTGCGTTTGAACGCCTAATGACATGAGATGAAAATGAATCTTTACTTCGAAGCTGTAATTATGTTATTGCTAGGGATCACACCGCATATGATTGGTTTTTCTGGGCCTTGTTTCTACAAAGACATTCACATACTAAGGCTCTTCTTGGCAGTTAGCCATCTCCTCGCCAGACACTTGACTCTCTTTGGACCTTGAGAACGACCCATTCTAATTTATTGACCTTTATTTGCTTTCCGTATATATATTGCGGTTACGCAAGTCCGTACTGCATCATATTGCTTGGGCGATAGTTACGATTCTCGATGACTTCACCATTGGCGCTGGCCTGTTATACGAAAAGTAGCTTTTTTCTTCGAGGTTTTGAGCTTAATAGCATAGTCCGCGCGAAGTACTGACTCTCATCACCATCATTTTATACGTCGTTCACTTGCGGCTAAGAGTCTGGCGATTTTCTGGCTCTACAAAGTCCTGCAATAGACAATTTTGTTTACAAGTATGAAGCCAGTAGTGAGTTCACCATAGGTTCCCTCAGCCATCTTGTTTTGGCTCAAGGCATTCTGTCTCCTATCTTTCAGGCTCAAATTTGGCTTACAACTCATGCTCGCGGCAGCGTTGACAGCAAGAGTACGTATCGCTATGATTTGCTATACGCCCCTGCGCAGGCCACGATTATTCTCCTTTTCTTTGTTATCGTTGTTATCTTCATCCATGTATGTATGAAACCGCTGCTCAGGATATGCTGGCCTGAGTGTTTCTTCAGAACAAGACAATTACTAGGTGCCACTATGCCGGGCCGGGGAGCATACTTGGCCCGTTCCGATACTCTAAGTCAGGGATAAGCCGTGCTTCCACAGACTCTAATGGCTACAGGTATTCCTATCGTTTCAAGTTTTAAGCTAGCATGAGACGAATGTACTCGACTTTCCCCTCCTTTCCCGTAAGATGATTAGGGCTTACCACCGATGACTTGGTTGTAGATCCGTCATAGTATTCCTATCGATGCTATCCCACAATTATCCACACGCCATCATAAAGAGCAGAATAGGAATCGTATAGTAAAGAGTGATTTATCTTTAGTGATTGGTAAGCTGGACACGTGTGATATATTCTCCATGCACCTGTTGTCGGACGGGGCAATACTCGGACCGTATAGCGGCTGATGAGTCCAAATGATCCGTCAATCCGCCCAGAAGCGAAGCCTTGACCCAACAAGCATTATTAGTGTGTGCTAGATAATTCTAGGTAACAAGGGCAAATACCCTCAGTGATCAAAAGGAGCTGGAAAGGACAAGTCGGAGGAACAATAGCAACTTCGCTCCGGAGTGTCTGCTCTCCTCACCTTGATCCGGCGAAATGGCCGATGACAGATGAAGCAACTGGAGTTACAACTAGTAGCAAACAAACTCTGTAGGAATACGAGGCATCTCGAGCAATTTTTCCAATTTGAGAAGCAAAGAACATGAATGCACGCTTTCTCATCGCACGCTTTCTCATCGCACGCTTTCTCATCGCACGCTTAATAAAGCGAGCTATTTCTGGCTCAGGACAATGAAGCGAGTCTCAGAGTCTAGCCGGAGGGCTCATCGACACTGACGCTTCGCCAACGTAGAATGTGTTGGAATGGACCATCACATGTCAATACCGACACCCTAAGAGTATGTGCGCCTCAGTCAGGGTATGGCACGACTATGAAATCTCTCTGCATGTTGGTCTGGGCTGAGTAGCCATCAAAATGAATGAATCCCTGCCGAGGGCTTGCATAATAAAGCCACCCGGAATAGGCATGAGCACTTTTGCAGATAGTCTCGGCCACGTTGCTCCCATGTTCGGCCAACCAGCCCCTAAGACGCAAGCGGGAAATGATGCGTTACAATGACTAACTAATACGGAAGAGACGAAGACATACCTCTGTACTGACAGGAATAAGAGGAATTGCAGCTGTCCGAACTTCGTGCAATACCTACAAGTAGGTACTCGCATGTCGTATCCATGTTAAAAAGTATTCCTAGCTTGGCGCCACTGTGGAGCTGTAAAATTGTCAATGCTGGCCAATATTAGGGTGGATCAGTAGCTAAACAAAGGCGCTGTCTAGCGTTCCTCTCTGTCGGGTCGGGGCACAAAGTGTCAAGGCCACTCGACATATTCTTAGTTGTAGGAATACGCGTGCCAGGAGTGGGAATGGGGGCCGCAAAGCTGTCTAGATGTGGAACCAGTGAGAGCAAAAGATGCTCAGCTTTGATGGATCGCTAGGCTGCTTTGGTAGGGCATCTTTATGCCATCAAATGAGTGCTATGCTGTCATATTATCCGGCGATCTAGTACGAACAGACAAGATTTCATCCTTGTTCTGGTCTTTCTCGGATAGGCGGCGTGAGATTTTTCAATGAATGCATGCCTTAATACTATTTAGACATACACCGAAGCGAAAGAACGTTCATGGATTGCACGGGCTGGCGTCAGACAGAAATCGAGTTGGTGTGTGTGAATGAGCAAACTTTGGCCCTGGCTTGCACCTCATGGTGAGACGAGCTAGAAGCAGCAAACGAGGCGGCTGCTGCAGGGAAGTTGCTTGCATGACAAAACACGTTCGTCCAGGGCGCTCCTTCTGTGAGTTGCACTGCTAGATGCGGAAGTAAAGTCGCAGGAAAGCGCTTCCGGAAGAGGCGAGTGCATGGAAGGTGCAGAGGAGGAGGATTAGCTCCGTAGGTGATTCCCAAGTTGGTGTCAGCCCCAGCATTCTCGGCCGACTTTGGATTCTCTCCGAACACGCTCGCTTTCTGCATCCCAAACTCTGCAGAGTACGCGGAACCACTGCAATTCGTGCATGGTATCTGCATCTGAAGAGATTGAGACGGAAGACAACAAATTACAAAATTTCGCCAACCGACGGAACAATGCAACTAGACCGCGCCAAGTCACGCCGTTTGGCTCGGCAGCCAAGCAGTTCTAGAAAGCCCACCGCCGGCCGAAGAAGAATATCATCAGCCATAATTCGCTGAGCGAGCGACGGAGCAATGCGCCAGGCCCATTCCCTCGGTACCACCTAGCGTTGGACTCTGCCGTAGTGAGTGATGAGCGGGATGAGACTCAAAAATTTTCAACTACAGCTCCAAAATAGACTTAGTGATGAGAAGTCCAGAAATCAACCGCCACTCGGCTGTTGCATCAAAGTCACGCCATTTTCACAGGCTTCTCTTGATTTGACGTGCAATCACTGCTTCAACTATCGCTAGTGCCCCGAGGTTTGCAGCAATGACTGGATGAGCCGGCGCCAATACCAATCTTCGCCAGCTATGCTCCGTCGGAACACGACGCTGCGGGCGCCATGCTTCCCCTCCCAACGACTGCGGAGCTGTCTTATGAAGCCCATGGCTTCCAGACCGAATAAAGTTTTGGTCTGAAGATGGGTTTATGCTGGGAATAGAGAAGACGTTGACATTTCCGTATAATACAGCATAAGCATAGCACACCTCCCGAGATTTGGGAAAAGTGCCGGGCGGCTTTGGGTATTACACGATACCAGTGCCATGTCCTCGGATCCGGCCTCAGCCTGAACCCACTGCCTTTTCCGACTGAATGGCTCTCACATGTCTGCAACAGAGGACACCGCTTCGTTGTCAGTCAAAAATCGCTCTAGCTAAACCTGTTTGAACTCTCAGCTGCGCTCTTTGTCTTGTTATCTGTTCAATTTTGTGGTGGCTAGAATCGAGGACCAGCTTCGGACCCGTGGGTGGCCAGCTTTGAATCTGTCTAGCTTCCCTACGCAGCATTGGCCCAGGCCGATCCCTGTCATGTCATCTTCCCCGTGGTTCCTGGCACGGCGCTGAAGTACCCAACTCCGCTGCCAAGTACTTACCATCACCCTGCACGTTCATTTCATTTCCCTTTGATTCGGATCCCTGCCGTGGCCGTGCTGTGAGCGTGCTGGAAGGCCAACAGTGCTCCGGACGACTGCTCTGCTTGCGGGACTCCGAATCTGCCACATGCGAGATTGCGAGATTTGGTACCGGCCAGCGTTTGACCAGCAGCAAGCATTCGCCGCCCTGCCGAGCTGGTAGCGCTACTGCAAGAGACTGCCACCGTGACCCGACGCTGGTACAGCCCGCCTGTCCTTTTTCGCAGGCCCCATCGTCGTCTTCGTGGGCCGGGCCTAGCGCCGTCTACTTGGCAAATCCACGCCATCTCACTGAGAAGAGCCGCTTTGCGAGAATCGTACATTAGCTGGCGATGCCCCGGTAGGCTAGACGCTTCACCCATCCGTTTCTTCCCTGGTGACAACCCCATCCCTTACAGCAGCTGTCGAGACGCCACGCAACTGCTAGCTATCTGTCGTGTTCCTGGGACTGTACGTCGGTCTCCAATGTGGAGGAGGCCACGGGAGCGCCAATTACAGTTGCTCGCAACGTTGTATTCACACGTACACCGGTCACGCTCATCAGCCAATCACTAAAAACTCGTTTCCTTGGATGGTGGTTCTTTGACATCGGTATACGTACCTTGTTCAACTCGCATTCTGCACTCATTAGCCAGTCGCTGCTTTAACACACATTATCACGCATCTACAATACCCGCCATCGCCAGGCTATTTCTCTACAAACCATCTTTCGGCAATTCTTAATCGAACCCCCTTTCTTCTCCCCCGGCATCCAAAATGATAATCGAAGACGACAGTAGCGGGCCGATCCCAAACACTTACAACCGACCTCCGTCACCAGCCTCTACCGGCTCAGCCATCACTGTCGGCACATCACAGAACGCCGTTCTGATTAAAAGCCTCGAACAGGGCGAATATGTTCCTGACGACGACACATGGGACGACACGCGTAGTCTAACCGACAGCATCCGCCAGCATATCATCGATGGCGGCCTACGCTATCATGCGTACCACGCTGGGCAATACAACTTCCCAAACGACGAGACAGAGCAGTATCGGGACGACCTCAAGCACAACCTGACTATTCATCTTTGTGAAGGAGCCTATTATTACGCTCCCATTCATGAGCGGCTGCTGCAGCCTGGTGCTGAAGTTCTCGATTTAGGTGTGTTTTTCTGAGCATGTATAGAAACCTTACTCTCTGAGAAGATTTGTTGTCTCCCTCTCGGATTCTGGCTTGTGCTAACGGTCCATGTTGAACAGGTACTGGTACTGGGAAATGGTCGATTGAATGTTGGTAACTCCTGACGAAACGGCTTGAGATTGCCTCTGTGCCCTAGCGGTTCAGAAGCATCACTCCTCCTGCCTATCTATCTCTGCTATGCTCTGTGCTTTTGCATAATCCTGATAGTTCTAACATCTTTCATCTAGTGGCTGACATGTATCCCAATGCACAATTCCATGGCATGGATTTATCGCCGATCCAACCTGATTGGGTACCCGAGAATGTGCTTTTCGTGGTTGATGACATCGAACACGAAGCTGGATGGACATATCCCGAAAACTCATTTGATTATATCCATATCCGTCATACCTGCCACTCAATAAAAAATCGAACCGAGCTCTGGAGCCGAATTTACAAGTCAGTCCAAACGCCTTTTTCTGTGGTCTTGCCATTAGTATGTTCATATTAACCTTTGTCTCTCCATCAGGCATCTGAAACCGGGCGGCTTCGTTGAAGTTCAAGAGTTTCAGTACGCTGCTGCTTGTGACGACCAGTCCTGTAATCAGCCATACGCTTGGCGCGATTTCTTGCGATTCCTGGGGGATGGTCTTGCTGCCCTTGGTTCCAACCTCCATGCCATCTTGAACGTCCAGGATGAGCTAGTCGCTGCCGGCTTCCAAGGTATTCGAAGGATAGATCTGAAGTGCCCCAATGGCCCGTGGCCCAAGTTGAGACGCCTTCAAGAGTGCGGCCACATCCTCCGAGACGTCATCATGTGGGGTCTTGTCGGGCTGGCCAGACGACCCTTTATGCTTGGACTGGGGTGGACGGCCATTCAGATTGAGATGTTTCTTGTCGATGTCCGCAAGTCCATTATTGCGGAAGAAAACGGCTTGCCAAAGTTCCACTCATATTTTCCTTTCCACAACATATACGGCTACAAACCTCTTGACGCACCTCTTGACGCTGCCTAAGTTAGCTAGCCATCCACGACTTTTAATGATACCTTTCTGATACGACGATAAACGACTAAATATACAAGATACAATATGCGGCCCGAAATTGAGATTATATGTCAGATGGCCTATTGGCTAATCTTTGACGAATGCTATGCGATATTCGCCTTTGGCTTCTTTTAGAGACAAAATCAGCAGCTTGATGGCTCTACTTCACTCAATTCCATCTCATATGATATATATTCCTAGACAAGAACATACCTTTCTTGTATCAAATCTTATTTAGATTACATATAAAAGATTGGAATCGCGACATATCCAATGGAGCTGTTGGTCTAAACGCAGGCTGAAAGGGGAATTGTCCGAGTGTTTGCTATGCATATATCTTTGCCGGCGCTCTTATCTATACGCACAACAGGCATGAATCTATAATTCTCATTAGTGTAAAAAACTAATATTAACCAATGCCGATCTTACTGGCCACTAAAATAAATACCAGCCCCTAATTCGTGCCGTGCTATCGCGTTTCTCTTTTACACAAGCAGATTCACCATTCATTGCTACGAGATAGTATATTCCAAATGTGACATGGGTACCGGCAAAGAGCATATAACAATAGACAATGTAGATGATATATAGCCCGTTAGCTTATCTGGCTCTGAAGGTAGAATACGGTTCACTGGCTGGGTCTTTAAGATGTTGGGCGTAAAGTGACAACAATGTATAGGATTGATGTGCTTGATTGTAGGAGCCTGATGAGAGAAAGATGATATGGTAAAGTATGCCTATGTAATACTAGGGGTGAGGACGTATCATCTTGTTCTGCCTATAACCATGGGTCGCTGATGGTGGTGAGATTTTGGCCTGGTATCTCTGGGCCGCCGTTGGGTCGACAAGTTTGATATGATGATAAGAAAAATAGTGTTAGTTATACACAAAGGAGTTTGATATATATGTTATAAAACGCTGGTATTCTGCATACTGTTGTTTGACTACCATTAGATTTAGACTTGTTGCCTCATTCCCTCCGATCGATGTATGTATTCATGTGTAACATATATGAATCGGATGCGGATATCTTTGCGTTAAAGATGATAGACAGAATTGCCATAACATAATGGTAGATATGCTCCCGTATAGCAAATCCATTTTGCTTACTCTATTACTGAAATGGATATGAGTTGCTAGAAAACCCAGTACAAGAGGCTGATATCTAACGGATGACATCTACGAAAGACCCCTATTCGATTACACAAGGCTTTTCATCTCAACATTTCTTTCCTTCTCATTCCCTAGCTAATCCACATCCGAAGACCCTATGCTGCGATCGATCGGCGCTTTTACCTCCGAAACGGCCCCGCCAGCCAACCGGCCCCGAAGAGCCATGCCGGAGAATGCCTCTGCAGCCAATTCCAATCTCGAGTTCTGCCAGCTGGACAAACGCATAAGGATTACACGGAAGAAGAAAGGCAGTATTACGGAATACAAAAACGCACATAAGCGAAAGAAGAGAACGACAGGCGGAGCGGCACTCTCGCATTACTTGCCACAATTGATGCATCTGGCCGGCCGAGAAAGGCCATGGAGAGAAAAAAGAGGGAGCTTTCGGCTACGTGCAGGTTTACTTTGCCCTTTTTAGGAAAGCAACTGGGATACATACATACATCAATTTGAACGGTTCGCATGTCTTTAGCGGCATTGAGCAGCATGCAATGTACGCCCGTAGGGAGAATCCAATATATGCAGCGTGCCGAGCGCATAAGCGTTTCTTTTTGCCCGTTGGCTCTTGTAGTAGCAGCAACACTCTGGCAGCTGTGGAACATTGGCAATGAACAGGTTACATCATGAGGGGAAGAAGTTGTTTTTTCCGTTGCCCGCACAGTACCAGCCTTTGTGGTTTTATTCCAAACTGGCAGTTGTTGCGTATGACTGATGATGACTATCAGCCGTGCAGGTATGGATGGAGTGAGGAATACTCAGCCAAGTGAGCATGTAAGACGTCAGATTCCTTCCCACGCAGTCATGCATAGGGGGGTGCTATGACGATCCCTCTTTTTATCCCTCTCCTTTGTCTCTTTCTATTCATTCTTTGCAGTAGTTCGTCTCTGCCATAGCCCTATGGAGCAACATGGACCTGCATTTCTCATCCGAAGTCTTGGGACTGCTGGCTCTTCTGGATGGGATTAGACCCTTGTCATGATGTAACACACACACGCACACAGCCCCCTCGGCATGAACCACGACCGGAAAGGTCTCATCCTTCTTCAGCTCGTCTCCTTAACAGATACCCACTCCCATGGAAAAAATATTAATAGTTGAAATTTCAATGGAGAAAAGAAAAAGAAAAAGAAAAAAGAACAATTTACCGCAGATTGTCGCACCCACTTTGTACACACGCAGGCCATTAAACCAGGTGGAGCTGTGATTGGCAAATGCCTCCCTGCTGCTGCTGCTACTGCACCCTTTCATCCACAGCCTGTCAGGTGAGTAGGATTATGCAAGTCATCCACCTAAGAAGCGCCCATATCAACCACTCAGCCATCCTTTTTTTGGTGGTTACGTCGAAACTAAACCAGAAGCAATTCTGCAGCCCACGTTGTTTACAGTAGAGAGGGGGGGCACCGGCATATAGTGGGCTGGACTGGGTAATCGCGGCTTTCGGGGCGCTCCGAAACTACTGGCCACATCCTTGCCTGGATTTATTTTTACTTGTTCTTGAAGTTAGATGCCCAACCTGAACTTGTGCATCTGCCGTTGGGAGCCAAACGCCCTATGGATGGGCAAAAAGCCCGCTGTGCTGATACGGGTTTGCTTTTGTGACATGTTATTCATGCCCATAAAAACCCAAATCGGGCTTAAGAAATCGCGAGAGGGGTAATAAACAGGACGTAGAGAAGCGAAAAGAGCGCCCAACGCGCCAATGCGCAAATATTCCTCCTGTATTCTATGAAGAGAAAAAACCAGCTCAGGTAGCTAGTATACATGTGCATACTAAATACGTTTTGGCCAAAAACAGGGCTGAGGAGGAGAAGAAACCTCTCCTTTCTGCCGTGCGATGCCAGCTCTCTTGTAAGCTCGACCAACGCAGCAGCGTACTGTATGTAGGTGTGAGGTGATGTGTCTCTTCTCAGTGACACAATATTGTGGCTCCAACAGGCGTCGATGATTTACGCCTCGCCTCTTACTCAAGGAGAGAACGAGCATGTGGTGATGCAAACATCAGGCTTTCTTTCAGCTCTCTACCGTATCGCTCAAGTCCGAGACCCTTATAAGCCCGATTTATGACAGTGGTGGGGGGAAAATATATGACAGCAGACACTGATAGAAAAAAAGACACCAAGTGAGAGGACAAACATATAGAGAGATGAGAATAAAAACCGCCGGTAGAAAAAAAAAATTACATTCTCCGCATGAGGTCTAACCCGTCATAGAAGCAAAAACGCACAGAGACAGAGAGAAAAAAAAAATAAAATCATGGAGGGGAGTGTGCTTAAGCAACCCATCTCTTTTTCCCCTCTTTCAATTGCGCAAAAAAATCATCGTGTCGTACAACGCAGGTCCTTCGGCTCATGTTTAGGTCCATTAATTATACCTGTTTGATTAGATTAACTGCTGCTACCCTTATTATTTCTTCTCATTAGTACTGACAGCGCTTTATCATTTCTTACGCTCTCTGTTCCCACGTCAGCCCAACATTGCGAAGGCATCTATGCAAGTTACGAGGAAAAAATAGACGGCTCAGCTCCCATAACGAAGTGAGGCTGATGGAAGGTGTATACTCTAGATGGTGGCTTACTGCACGGCATTCCAGCCTGGTGTCATCTGTCATGGACGCTATGTACGATGGATAGTAAGAGGCTTTTGGATGAGACAAAGTGGCTGGCTTTTACATACTCTGCCGTCATGCCGCAGATCGAAAGGAATCGCAAAAGTCGAAACCCCGAGCCAGAATTGATACTACTTACTTCATAATGATAAATATGGTAGTAAATCGTGTATAAAGAGTAAAGAAATAAAAGGGGGAGAGGGCTGTCTTGTCACACTTCAAAGAGGCCAACTATCACCGCCCGCAAGACATTCTTTTGCTTCCTACCCGTGAGACAGTGGATTTTCTGAGACAAAGCACAGCCTCCGAACGCATACGACGCAAGGTTTTTCGTCAGGAACTGCTCTCAGCTTACTAGAAACCTGGCTAGAATTAACAAAACGAATATCCTGCTTCAAGTCACAACAAGTCCCATGCGACAGCGCCTCAAGGCCAAAACGACATTCACCTCATCCCACTCCTCCATCGTACGTCAATAGAAAGCTCTTGATGAGATGAATCAATTAAGAAAGAACCGTTATTCCCGAGGACGCGTAAACGCCACGCCAAGACACCATGTTTAACATGGTAACGGCGGGCTGATACAGTCTCTCAACGCGACTCTGCTGTCTCTATGGAACGTCATTGCCCCATAAGGATATGCATCGTGTGTAGCCTCCAGAGTTTTTACATAAAGAGAAAGAGACATCTATCCACCAGACCTGCATGAAGGGCCTGGCCCCTACTCACCACTCCACAAAATCCTGCAGCAGAAATCAAATAGTTAATTGAAAGCACAGTCACCAACATGGCATCACATGAATAAACCGGACCCTGAGAGTAATATATAATAGAGGGGATAAAGATATATTTGCGCTCGTAAAATAAAGCCATCATCATTGTGCGGTTATACTAAAAGTCTCCATCTAGAAGTTCCCAATTTCTGAAAAAAATTCACTCTGTAAAAATCCATATTGCCACAGCACATTAAAACCCAAGACATGAAGATAAAAGAAAGGAAATAAGGGAAAAAAAAAAGTCGTGTAAATCAGACAACCTCGCCACCTTGTCGTCGCCAATTTTGTGTTCTGCTCCTCCTCTCCTCCTCATCTTGCTCGCGACGCGCCCGAAATGATAACGCTGGGTATCTCTAGATGGAAAAATGCCCCGTGTCTCGGTGTCTCCTCCGCGTGTTCATTGGTGGTAGTACAGGTCGCCCATAAAGAAATCTTTCTTTTGAAAAGCCGAATAGGAAAAAAAAAGAAAGGAAAGAAATAGTGAAAAGGAAAAGCATCAAAAGCCATTCATCGCTCCGAGAGACCGAGTTCAGAAAACAAAGGAAAAAGAAATAAAGAGTCCGTAAGACTGGGTATCCATAGGAAATCCTCGGACGAGAACGATAACAGCAAACAGCAGTATTAGTGTACAATCTCTTGTCTTTTCTGGCCTTTCCATCCTGTGGAGTAGGCCCATATCCAACTTCGACGGTCCGGAATCCTAGGGAAGTTGCCAATTTGGTGAACATCAAAAAGAAAGATTAAAAGGTTACGCGAGATGCTGGAAGAGTCCAGGGCAAATTCGTAAAGCATCTCCTTTTGGAAAGAAGGGTTAATCCCGGAATAAATTTCCTGGGATCATTGTCATCCTGGATTGGAAAGATAAAAGGAATTGGGGTTGTTTCCAGGTCGTAATATAGGGTGTCCAATTTAGGAAGATGGGTTTGCCAGGATAGCCTCGCAGTTGGCGTCGAATCTCATATTGAACAGCCTCAAACTCTGCATCAACTTCTCTGTCTTGTTGAGTTCCCGGTCACGGCCAAAGAGAGTGTCGACAAACTCGACACCAGAGTTCTTGCCCAGGCCTGACTGCTTCTTCTTGGCAGCCTTGAGCATGGGGCTCTCACACGCCTTGAGAAGCGAGCGAAGCTTATCTGTGAGACGCTCGCCAGACTCGATGAACTCATTCATAATCTCTCGGTTCTCGGCACTTCGCACGCGACCAACAATGTCGTCCGCACGCTTGACCTTGCCGGAGAGCTGAATCAGAAGAAGCCAGAGTTCACCCGCCATGTCGGCAATGGGAGAGTTGGCGCCGGCCCGGTAGACGGTCCAGTCGTAAATCCACTTGCCGAGGCTGTTGGCGTCAAAGACGCTGCCGAGAAGAAGAATGGGCTCCTCTGTCGGGTCCCAGTTCTTGAGGGAGTAGCCCGTCGGAATCCGGTGCTTTCGGGCATCGGCTTCGGTGGCCTTTGGTGACGGAGCAGAAGAAGCGGCGGCGGCCTTGGCGCGGTAAGCCTGTGCTGATGGACGGACGGTGGATGGCCTCTGCGGGACGTTTGCCGCTGCCGACGAGCGGCGAGCGTGGCCGTGGCTGGTGGGAGGGCGGACATGGGAGGCCGGGATGTGCGACTGCGGCGAGTCGTAGGCATCACGGTAGTCGGCGTAGTAGGCTGCGGTGCCCTGTGGGTAGTCGTCGTGATTAGTGTACCGTATCCCCTCATAATCATAAGCATGCGAGTTCCTGCGACCCTTTGCTCGCGACTCGGCAAGCAGCACATATGTACGCCCCGAAGCCTCGAAGATCTCGTCCTCGTCGGATTCTCCAAACGGAGTTGCAGCCCGGACATAGGTGTGAGAGAATCGGCGGTCGTGCCAGGCAGGAAATTGAGACGACCCGGAGGGCCCGCGCGACGAAAAATATTTGGGACTCACATCAACCGTGGCATACTGGCCGGAGCTGTTGTAGCGGGGCGAATCTACCGGGGCGCGAGGCGTAGAAGCGCCGCCCTGAGAATAGCTGCTGGCCCGGCTGTGAGCTGCTCGGGTGGCTGGTCGTCGAGGCGTGGTCTCGAGCCAGCTTGGCCGCGGTGATGGGGTTGGAGTGGCGGACGACATTCGTGTGTATTCCCACTCGTGGATCGGGGTCGATCCAGGCGTTCGTGGTGATGGGTAGTTCATTCTGGGGCTGTGACGGCTTCCTCTGCGATGTCCGCGGTATGACACTCGCTCCTCAACCTCTTCCTGCAACCAACGAAGCGGGCTGCGGTGCGTCGACGGTGTATATCGATGAGGTTGTTGTCTGCTGTCGTCCAACGGATAATAGCAAGGCTGTTGGGTGAGAGCTGCTGGAGGTTTGAGATGCTCAAACTTGTCTTCCTGTCTGCTCTCAAAGGGGGATGAATTGGGGGAGATGGAGGGAGTTATGGGGTATTAACGTGAGGATGTGCAACGGGAAGAAGCAATAAAAAAGCCCGTCACCTTGGTATGAAGTCGGAAGAGTAAAAATTATTAGAACAGTTACGTCTTGCGTCAAACATGACCAATCTACAACAGGATGGTTTTATTCGTCTTGTCTTCCCGGGTGGAAAGCGAGCCAGAGTCCGACGTTGCGGCCTGGCGAGGTGAGATGAGATGGTTGTGGATGTATAAGTAAGGGAGGCGTCGGCTTCAGGGTCGACGGTGCATGGATAGCTGCGGCAGCGATGCAGGTGGAGATGCGATGAGATTCATTGGCACAGGCCAAAGCGATATCAAGAGTGAGAGGTCGGAGGAGAGAAGAATGCAGCGCGGGCACGCATTCGGGGTATATATTTGTGGACGCTGATAATTTTTTTGCCTTGGTGGGAGCTCAGCGAGACAGGGAAGGCCGTTAGTGAGTTTAGTGAGAGACGAGGGCAGGCATCGCTAGCGCCAGTCGCACAGGCATGCAGACAGGGGGCCCTCTGGCGGTGGAGGGGGCGTGCGCGTAGCGGTTGAGCCTTCAAACGGCTTAGTCACTGGCGGTGGAACCTTCCGGCAGCGCCCACAGTCGCCCACACAGTGCTGGAGGCGTCTGGCTGACACTGGCCCTGCGTTATCGCCCAAAGCCCAAAGCGCTGCCTGGGCACGCTGCGTGTCTGTCTGTGTGTCTGTCTGCGCTTTTTGTATGGATGGCCTCGCACCCAACGCAGCTCCCAATCCAGACCTCCTCAGTCCAATCGGGATACCTGCGGGCAAATGGACGGTGCGATGGCTGCGACTGGTCGGTCTGCGCTGCTGCAACTCTGCTGAGGTCGACGGTGCCCAGTCAGTGAGCGAGCGCTGCAGCTTCCAGCAGGTTCTGGGCGGCTGGTGAGTAAGGGAGGCAGCCCGAATGCTGCTCTCGATGATGATTTGCCGGCGCAGCTTGGTAGCCTCGGACGAGGTGGACACTTTTCAGCCGGCTTGCGCAGCTGGACGGGCTCCCAAGATCTTCGCCGTGACTCCTCCCAGTGGACGACCAACGACCGAGCGAGCCTGTTCGACAGCGTCGCTCGTATCGCTCTGACAAGTCAATTGCGTTTGCCGGGGCTTGTCGATGCTTGTCCTGGCCTGTGCTGCGGACTTGTAGGCTTCGGCAGTATCTCAAATCTAGTCAATGTGGATGACGACTCGCGGCCCTGGTTCTTATGCACTGGAGCCTCCCCCAGTCCAATTTACCGGGACGGGATAAGCGAAATGATAGAGCCTAGGGGTATGGATCCTGGTTTCCGCGGGTGTCTTGCACGATACAGTTCATGTATCTCTCGGTGAGTGATGCAAGGCAAGGGACAGGGAAAGCGAAAAAACTCTTTCGTCTTCCCGATCGTTGTTTTGTCTCCCTGCTGGTGGCTTTTCAGACGGGCAGGTGTCAAACGCCGAAGCCGTCGATGCCTTGAAATATGGTGCGAGGCAATCTCAAATCCCTGTTCCCATTTAGAGGCCTGCGCAGCAACAGATGCACGGAGCGCGCGCACTCACTGTGAATTTATTTCCCTTTTGAACCGTGGCTTACTTGGCCTCTTCTGCTCTTGCGTAGACCAGTTGTGGCTGATTGTAATACGTTGGTAATAATACCAAAGCGCCCGGAAGACAAAGAGGTTGTTACGACCGCGAGTAATGCTAGCGGCAACACGGCGACCAGGACGGCTCGGACAATGAGAAACGTTATTTGATTATGCGCACGCTCTTCTGGGATGCCGTGAAAAAAAAAAAGAAAAGGCGTTGTATTCAATGGTCCGAGGCTTAGGTTTGTTGGGGACGATTCGCGAACTGATATTTGCGCCGCCGGTAATAACAAGGTATGTTTGGCATGAATGACAATCAGTGCGTAATGCGGACTCGTACCATTTGATCCCAGCGCAGGCTTACAGTATAGCACTTGCTTGCCGTCCTCAGCCTCAACGTCCATCTATTCGGGACAGGGACTGGCTGAGAAACGATGAGAGGATGTGGGCATATTTATCATGCTCCTCCATCGTCGACTTACCAACGGCCCCCAGTATTACGTATGACCGGTTGCATGGATGGAACAGTGGGAAGCGCCCAGAAGACGCAATCAACAGCGAGCTACGGGATATCCCAGGCGCACAAAAGCGACCATGTTGCCTTGAACAAGCGCCCATCTGGATCGGTCAGCCCTGTGACCATGCGTCAAGCAACGCAAAGACGGCTCTAGCTGACGAGTATTCGCTCATCGCTGCGACGATGAGTGGTGGTTCGCAGTCACATGGCGCAGCACAATGATTGGAGGGGGCCGCATTGCCCGCAGCGTCGCAGGGCGTTGATTGGCCCGTCTTGGCCAGAGCTGTGTGACAGGCACTATCGATAGATTTGCAGTGTTACTACTGGTGTTGGTAATATTCGCTCAGAAGGCAGCGGTTTGTCCTCGCAATGCTCCCGGCTTCAGAGTTGCAGTGCGCTGTGATGGTGGTGCGGTCATGGTGATGGGAGGAGCTGAGAAGCGCCGAGCTTCGGGCGAGCGCTGGCGGTTAATGGGAAACCTCCAGCCCGAGATGGTTGCAGCGAGATTGGTAGTGCTGAGAGACAAAGGTAGTATCTGCGTGAAGACGGCCCCAGCTTTTTCACGGTTCGTTGGGGTTGGTGTTTGTTAATTAATTCGTGTTTAATATAGCATCAGGGATTACCTGAATTTACAGGGCCAGGCACAGCAAGCACTTTACGCACGACATGCCCCATTTGGTTACAGCCCTGGCGGGACAAGAAGGGAAAGATAATTGATGCATATTAGCCAATATTCCGGATCCTACTTCTTCCTACACCCTTTTGGTAGAAGTAATTTGATAGCAGTGTCGCCCAGATCAGCAGCAATGTCATACCTAGGTAATATAGCAGCTGTTATAGGCAATTCATGCTCATCGATATCTCTGAGCGGGCGTGCATATGGCATCCATGTATCCCCCAATCTGACAGGCTGCATTAAATGCACAACACCTCTTGATAAATTGATGACCCAACAGAGTCGCATGGAAATGCGGCTGTGACTGCAAAAGGACAGAAATAGAGTAGCAGTCGCACGCTCCGCTGCTACATGTGCTCTTATTCGCTTGCGCACATCCGAAGCCTGTTCGGTAATTCGCAGTACGACTTCGTACAAGGTCCTGTTGGGTTGGCGAATGGGGTGATTTCCGATCAGTGCTGCGCAGCCCATGGCAAACCAGAATCTCAGCTGTACATATTTTGAGGCAAAAATAAAGAATTGATACAAAACCTGATACCGACAGAAGCCACCGACAAGGCTGCAGTGGTCACCACTTGGCTGGCCAAAGCATATTGAAGTCAAGTTGAATATTACAGGTCACACTCGATTTAGCTTTGACCCTCCCCAGCCTGACCATTTCTCGTCTCGACAGCCTTTGGCCCATGCACCGATATCCAGCAGCATTTTCCATTTACTCTTTATTGCTTTTCTAGCAAGGGGAGCCTGCAATGCACACACACACCGAGTTTAACCAGCGGCCGCGAGAAAAAAACAGACAAGGGGGGAGAACAGCCCAGTCTCCAAAACGTGGCTTTTTCCCTTGTCTGCACGGCGCCAATCTGGGTGAAGCGAGCCTACCAGGCCACGGCTTTAATGTGATGGACGCAGCCTCTCTGATCCCGATCACACTGGAAGGATTCATGCGCAACGGCAAGGGGAGCCTGCCCCTTGCTTGAAAATTTTTGCTAGCACCAAACTGTATTCTTTTTTTGTCTCAACATTCGTTGGTGTGTGTTGGTTGGTAGTCTTGAAGAGAAGGAGAAAAAGAGCGGTTGGTTCTGTTAGCTCATGTGCAAGCAGTTTCTTCTTCTTCCTGGTGGTGGTGGCACGTAACACACCATGCACGAGTGCATCCGCACTTACATATGCACTCATATATTCTTAGCCCGCTCTGCTTAGCTGCTGCCATCAACATGTTCGTTGCCGTGATTGGCCTAGACTTTCCTTTTTGCTTCTTTTGCTTCTACTCAAACTTTTGCACTACTGCTCAGGTTTTTTCTTTTCCCTGGTCACTTTTCCTCTTTGCTTGATCAACATGCGGTACCAGTACGCGCGAGCGTGAGGTGAGACATTGATGGACATCCAGCCCCCAAAGGCCAGTGCAGGGAAGGAATCCGCTTGGTAGGCAATGAGAGACAACAAAAAAAAGAAACACTGAAACACAAACAAACTGACCAAGTCCAGCTCCACGGTCGCAAATAACACGCCATGGAGGAATTTGCTTTGGACGTGGAGGAAACCAAAGGCGATTTATGGAGCCCTCCGGAAACTGAACTACGGGCTACCGGCGCTCCATATCCCCAGCGAGCGGTAGCTGAGTGTTTAGCGGCCGATAGCCTAATGCACTCTACTGGCAGTGGCCCGGCTGCAGAGTGTCAGTGCCTGGGGGCCCCCGCGGCAGGCCTTCCGGGTGCTAACCTAGCGGTGAACTTGTCCCATGCATGCTTTTTGCGGTTTCAAGGTTTTTGTCTGTTCCTGAGGCACACGCACACGCACCCGCGCAAAGGGCCAAAAAGTGTAAATCCCAACACCACGCCCACCACTCTCAACTCCAAATCACACACAATCACGCTGCGCTAAGCAAACACGCACACACCACTTCCGTGCTTTGGCGCTTGGCGTTTGCCTCGTACTCGTAAATCCCCTTGTCGAACAAAGTGGGCCCTTCTTCTGCTTGTCAGCGCCCCCCCAGCTTCCACTCTGGTCTTCTTTCTTGCGCCCATCTCCATCATCTCCAGTTCTTCCCGGGTGGGACCTCCGGCTTTTGTCCCACAACCCACGGGAGCTCGCAGCCCCAAAAAGCATCCACGCCGCCGCAGCGTGCCGTTCCCGCGCACTTCTTCTGCGCCAGGCACGGCACACTGTATGGAAACACCAAATTCAGCAGCAATCAGCTCCATACGACAAAGTATCTATCTCCCGGCCGAGAGGTAGATACGTGATGCGTCAGTGGTAGGTTGGCGACTCCATCCCATCTCGCACCTCTTGTGTGAGCTGACCTGTACCTGCATCTTCTTCAGGTACTTCGTATTTTGCTTCGCCTTTTGTCTAGATCAAGGGAATTATTGCACGAAAAAGGCATTGTCCGGACTAGCATCGTCTACGAACTCTTTTCTTTTCTTCCTTCTTCCTTCTTCCTTCTTCCTTCTCCCCATTTCTCTTACAAAAGCAATACTACCTTCATACCGACAATTTTTGCATGGGATACAGACATGCTTATACCGACTTTTCGCTTCCTGCAAGATATCTCCTTCTGCGTGCAATCATAGCGTTCTGACTGGCCCGTACAGATATTACTGCTTACTACTACTGCTGCTACTACAATGTGGTAGCATGTCTGCTTGTATCCCCAGTCTGCGCCTCAGCTCATGTCGTTTACCCCTTTTTCTTTGTGACGTCGGTCAAGACAATTCTCTTCAACATCAGACGACAAGCGCATCCTCCTCGCCATCAAATGCTGCCCTCCGCTTCCTTCCGCTGGCTTTAGAGCGCGGCCTGGTGCTGCGGCTCACGTCTCCGGCTGCTCGCCGATTTCTAGAAGACAGCTTGAAAGTGGCCCCCGGTAAAGTGCTGGCCTGGCCTCGCTAGCTTGCACCCCCCTTGATTCATCTTCCCTTCCCCGAAGCATCCATGGTCCGTCCGCCCTTTGAGAATCCCTGGAGCCCGGAGGGTGTGGCCAAAAGAGGCTGCCTAGAGGCCGCTAGGGCTTGAGTTTTTGCCCGTCCCTTGTTTGATGGGTGAAAATTTTTCAACTCTCATTTCGTGGGCCGTCCCTCAATCAAACCCAACACTGGCCTAAACAAGTTTCTCGTGTCTTTGCTCTCCCGCAGGATGCCTCCTTGCAAACGATCTCGACTTGCTTTCCTCTTGCTTTTCGCCTCCATCCTATGATCCCGATCAAGTGGATGGTGACTCACACGAACACAAGCCCCGGCGCTTCGTAAAGATAACCTCCTAATAGATGGGCACCAGAGCTGTATTGATGTCCAAAGATGCTGCGGCTGTCGAATCGGGCACTGAGCTACAGCATTTTTGGGCGCCGATTGGCAGCCGGTCGCTCGCCCCCAGTTTCACGCAGAAGCCACACAGAGCGCCATGCCAGTGCGAGAAAAGAAATAGCTGAGAAGAGGAAAAAGAGGCCCACTTGGTCTGAGTACCAGGGATCCGATCCATTCGCATGGCTTTTTGCAATACGCACCCCCCCAGCAAAGCAGCTAAACGGGCTGGTAAGCAAATTCGCTAACTCCAGGCTAGCCACTCACCTATTTGTCCACTAGTAAAGGCTGTTTGCGAATATTGAAAACACCACGGACACTTTCTTCAGGCGCTTGCTTGCCAAAATGGTAGCCTATCTTGGAGACAAGTCTGCTTGCTAGGTAGTAACGACCACACCTTTCTCTTGACCGACTCTTTCACTTTTACGCAAGACGTATGATCTGAGAAAGGGGGGAGGGGGAGAAAATTTTCTTGCCCCGGCCCGCGCACCGTGACCAAAACCCAGAGTGCATCTCACTGGTCCATTTGACTACCGAAGACAATAAACAGGACAAGGCCTCCTGCGACTACGGACGCAGTGGGAAGGCAAAACGAGTTAGTGCCTGCAGCTCTGATACGTGAGAAGAGAGGAGATGCATGGAGACAATGCACAATGATGGAAGCCAGATCTCTACGCAACGGCATCCGTGTCACTATCCCCATCTCCATCCCGGCCTGCTGTTGAGAGCCTCGAATCCCCTCGAAATCTCGGTGAGAGCGTCCCCATGTTGCTTATCGGGTGGAATCTTCGAAGAACGGTATCGGACCGCTCGTTTAGCTGACCGATCTGTCAACGCATGGGTTCCGAATGCGCATCTGGATGAGTAAACAAGGCAAGGTAAATTGCCAGTAAGTGCGGGTTTCTAAGTAATTCTGCAGTCTATGCCGTATACGCCACGAGCTTGATATCATTCTGCGATGCTCAGCTCATACTTTACTTGGCTGGCCCACTGGGAGTGTAGAGCTGATGTGGGACGATGACTTGTACAAACGTCAACCACATGATAAATCATGGCTCTAGTCTAAGAGCTCACATCAGGCGCTTGCGGGGGATTTCTCGGTAGCAAAGCGGTTTTGCCTGCTCAGCCTGCCGGAATCTGCCTACAGTACAAATTGCAAATCCTCGCCCTGCTATATCATATTTCAGCAAACAAACAGTACTGATACGGTAGTGTAAGCTCAGCAGGCTGCCGCAGTGTCCGCGGCGATGCCCAAGTTCGACGCAGCAACTGCCGTCGGTGACAGCTGCAAAATTCAGGCCGCAAGCCCCAGATACGTCGATCCGCCTAGACTGTCGTATGTGTTGGACGCCATGTGGCATTTTTTTTTCAAACTCCTACCGGTATCACTGGTTCATGCAAAAGGAAACAACACAGATGAGGATCGCGATGCGGGCTGCATCAGTCCTAAGATCGCTGTGCACGTGTCGTGTCTCTTCGTAAGGTAAGCGCACAAGGACGTAGGCTGGCAACAGGAGGTTGCGAAAACCCTACGTCTTTGTCCCTACGTGCCTTGTCTCTAGCTTGCCTACCTATCTATGCACAGCCCTACATACAAGAAGCCATCTCAGTCATCGTCAATGGCTGGTTTGTATGGAAAACGGTCCATTTCTGGCTTGGAATGCCGCTAGTATTACGTCCTACAGTATCTGTTGCTTAAGCACCCCCCTCTATCTAGCTCAGGCCACGACAGTCCAGCCTAGATTCATTTATGCCTTACGATGCGGCAGCAACACCACCACCAGGAAAGAGGCGCATGGATAATCAGGTTATTGATTTGCGCCTTGTGTGTCTAACCAAGCGCATCAATCTTCGATTCCATCTCTGTTGCGTTGCCTGGATGTAATAGCAATGGGCGGAGCCATATCACAAGTAGTTTCGGTAGGAAGCATCGTGCCTATCAGGCGGTATGGTGTCGGGCAACAACAACAACGCATTAGATGGCACGGCGTGTTTTTTCTTCACCTTTGCATTACCCTGCGCCCATTCCATTGGACAGCTGCTGGACCGACAGGGAGGATTTACACCACGACTACATCATAACACGCTACGTGTGTATATACCGGCACTCCCTTGCGGTTCTCCCCCACTCTGCACAGCTTAGAGTGGGCAAGCTGGGAAAATGGAAACCCACCTGGATCTGTCAAAAGGTTTGTCATGCTACTTTTTCTTCCTTCTGTTCGTCAAGGGTCGCATTAACGACATGGGGTTGCTGAAAATAGAAAGAAAATGATCGCTCATGCTAATGCACTTGCGCCGAACAAGAACAGCGGCTTAGACGAGGTGTAAGTGATGCCGCATCTGCTGGCACTAATATTTACCATATCATGCAGCAGCACGGCAATCGCTCTCTTAATCCTGTCCAGACCGCCTACACAGACCACGGCTTAACAGAGGCGGTGACGGCGGTACGCATTTCTTTACAGATCACACGTGCAGAAGATTTTTCTTGGTGTCCTTTTTTTTTTTTTCTTTTTTACCCCAGACACTTTCGTCACTGTGTGTTGATCCTTGAAATTTCCTGCAAAGTTAAATACAATTGTTGAGGGCAATTTTCGCATTGTTGAAAATTATTGCGTGTGTGGTGCGCATACCATGCAGGGCTGGGCGCAAGCTGATATACATTCCCTTGCAGCCTAGGGTTGGAAAAAAACTTCACATGTCTGAGACGCGCAAAGAAAGGACACAGCCTTCTCTGTATTGAATGCCAAACTACATAGCAAACAAAGGATGAAGTTTGACCTTTGAGTTGTTGTTTTCGTTAGCCCTACACAACTGCTTCCAGAACTCAGCGCCACACACCCGGGGGGCGTAACCAAGATCGCGTGCCTCGGGAAGCCAGACGGGACGGGCGTCTGGGGAGGGGGCGCGAAAAAAAGCCACCCCAAAAAAGAGGCCCAGGAAGAAAAAGATTTGATATTTTGGTGGGGCATTCCAATTCATCTCTTGGTGCAAGCCACGTGGTGTGGGGATGCTAGAGTGGCGGTGCATGTGGCATCGACCTGCCGAGTCACGTGACTAGCCAAAGAGCCGGGACCGCCGCCACGATCTCTTCTGATGCTTGAGGCGTTACGTCATAGTGTTCCTGCGCATATACGAAACATGGCCGACTTTGAAATTTGGATTTCGCTTTATAATAACGGAGTGGCGCATTGGAATACGCGACGTGTATGTATTGGATTGTGTAATACAAACTAGCTGTGCTCTGACGCCAAGAAGAGCTGCGTGTCGATCCAGAGGATCTTTTCCGCCCGTTCTGGGGCAAACTTTGCAGAGCTGCGAAATTGACTTTTACCAGTTTGCCTATTGGGGCAGTTTCCCCTGACGTGGCTTGACAGCGAAGATGGTTGGGGGTGGTTGGGGAGAATGACCAAAGTATTCAAGTATGACGCAATGAGTACAAAAACAGATGGGAGATTTGGGCATGAGAAAGCGGGAATAATGCTTGTTTCTCTTTTTTCTAGCTTCTAAAAGAGGCGAGCATGATGAATCAGACTGCACTGTGCACGCCTCCATCAGCCTTGCGCGGCGCAATATTGAGCTTTTTTGGTGAGAAGTGCCGTCTTTGATGCAACCACACCAAAGGATGCAGGTTTGCATACATACACAGGGCTCATACATACACGTAATTCCAGAGAGCCGGGGCGAAGACATGCAGATGTGATTTGGATGGCTGGGGAAGAACGAGGCATTGAGGGTGCATGAGTCACAGATGTTACAGACTTTCTGGCATAACGTTTACACAGCCCTCTTTGCTACGGTATTCCCCAAAACTCACGACACGAGGAGCTAGAATTAGGAAACATATCCGTGCCTTTTTCGCGAGCGGACGGGGAACAAGAAGCGTGAAAGTTATTTGCCACGCGCCCCATCTGCTAATATATGTCTTTTTTTTCACATGCGGGAGCTAAAGAATGGGCTTGTGAGCGCCCTGAGCTGAGAGCTGAGGCAAACGAAAAGGAAATAGAGCGCCAAAATCCTGTAAGGGGCGAAAATCTTTTGTGGGAAACGAATGGACGATTGGCAGGCAAAAAGTAACGCGCGTTGGAACCTTTTTTTTTTAACGCGAACTTTTTAAACCCAGTAGAATTGATTACTCGTGTCGTGAGGCGAAAAAAAAAGTCAAGATGGAAGAAGAAGCGTGAAGCGTGAATCGTGAACGAGGCTAGGCAACAGCCAACCACCGGGGTTTCAGAATTCCAGCGAATAGAAAGCGGCCAAGAAAAAGAGAGGGTGGTCGACGAGCGAATAGGATCGCGTGTAGGTAGACTAGGCGCCAGCGCGCTCACGTATAAGCCATCTCTTTGTGACTATCCTTTTTTTTTTTTCCTCTGATGCGAACTCGCGCGTTGAGGTGTTCACGTGCCTGTCACATGCTAGGATATAGTCATCTATATGACCTATATATCGCCAGAGACGCGTGAGAAGGTTTGCGTTACGAGGCGATCAAGAAGGCAAAAAGAAGAGTCACCGTGAGCGCGTGGACGTGGAGAAGGATTTGCGCGCATGCGGTTTATTTCTTTTTATATTATGTGATCCAATCATTTCTTTGACTTGTAGAGGCTTGTGCTATAGACGGCGAGTCGATGATGGAGCTATTGGTTCAGATGAACGCATTTCTTGTGCTAGGGGAAGCTTTCCGGCACGAGGACGTGATGTGATGTGATGGGAGGGGGGGTGTATGATGGATGTGAATTGTGGCGATGTTTCGTCCTTTTCCATGGGGAGGTGGTTGGGATGAATGGCGGACGATTGGGGAATCGTTTCCTCCGCACTGGGTTGATGTTAAGAACTTTTCAGGCATCTCATTGGAGTGATGCTGTGATGTTGATCAGAGATGCTTATTCGGTCGAGTGACTGATGTTTTTGCCTTGAGTGTTGCCTCAGGAAGGATGGGAAGGCTTATCGTTGGGTTGCAGACCGAGTCAGCCTTGGGCTCTGCTCGTCAAACAAGGTGAGCATATAGCGTCGATATGCATAAGTCACTTCATGGCGTGGCATCTCTGGGTGACAGCATGTGAGAAAAGTTGAGTCAATTTGATATCTTCGTTTCTTATCAATGTCATCGATGTATCTGTGTCTATTGGCGGTGTAAGTGTGACTCAACGCATTGCTGTTTCATGTTTCATCTTGCCTGGCTACTAGCCTGCCTAAATTATCACTAACTAACGAGCTGCTCGATATGCTTCTAAATTTATCTTCCAGTTAGCAGAAAATGTGAGATTTTGGAGAGTTTTCATGCATGTCTCGGCAGTGAAGCTTTGGTACATGGCGAGCATCCTGTTCGAAAAGAGTGAGCAGCGAGCTATATAATATCTGACATAGGTGTTTATCATTGCATAGTATTTCACAGTCGCTATATAGATGATCTCGATTTCATTCAAAGTGTAAAAATTCAGGAGAGAAGAACAGCAAGCGAACAGGACCTCGCGCTATAAACTCATGATTAGTTCTACCAATGCCATGTACAATCCCATTCTCTTGACAACAGCTATCGCCAAAGATAAAAAAGTTGAACTTATTCACATATATTGTTGAAAGAGCACGACGGTTCCACGTTGATAGATTCGCTGTGCTTTTGAAGTCGACGCCACATCATTTAGATGCTCCAAGGAAGACTCTCCGCGAGACATGGTGACGTTCGCTATTAGATGAAGAGTAGCCCCATAATAGAGCCTACTACACATAGCTGGACCATTGTTCGTCCAGAAGTATGTCTTAACAATGTTTAGCTCGTGTATCTACTGTTTCATAATTGCGCACCCTCTCCCCTTAAATCGCATATCAAGCCACATTTGGTCTAATACTCTGAGATCTGTCTTCTACTATCACTTCAACAAGTGAATATGACGTTACAATAAGCAAGAGACGAGCTAACAATTATCTCTTAAGGAGAGCTCTCTATATCATTTCTTGTACCATGAAACAAAATACTTTCATCGAATCCTGGTAAAATTCCGCTACGCAACCTATGTGTTTCTAACCTTTGTCCATGACTTGCAAGCCAGTAATTATCTTCTACGCCGCAAATGCAGTACAATCATCATCTGCCAACATACCGCGAAAATCAGTCTTCCACACGAGAGTGCGCAAAAGCCATATATATTGCTTTGCAATTCTTTCGGAAAGAGCAAGCTCTCCTTATGTTTTATTAAACTAGGTACTTTTAATTGCTTTTAAATCTTCAACGTCTAATTATTTAGCTTTCTCGCCCCTCAAAGCATGGCCTGCTAACTTTTGAAAATCGCTAAAATCTTCTTATTAAAATGTTACCAAATGGGTTTGCTATGCGCATGCAAAAAAATGTCATTTCAATCATCACTCCTTTTGTCACTCCTTCTACCGCTTGTTATAGTTGACGAATTTGCTCTAGAAGAATTAAGTTAGCATTTGATGTGACAATATTGCAAAAGAAATGGGAGAATGGAGAAAGTACTTACACCCAAGAAGAGGATAATAATGTTGCTGCCAACAAAGCAGAGGAAGATACCCAAATCTCTCCAGCGGTGGTCAAAGCTCAAGCCTAGCGGGTTGTAAAACTCATCGCCAACGCCGTACTGGCAGTATTCGCAGTTCTGGGTGGAGTTGGAGACCAGGTAGCCAGAAGCTCCTCTTTCGAAGAAGGGCGCCATGTAATCACCACAGGTCGTGCCGTTGGGGGCGGTGAATCGGTTCAGCTCGCTGCTCTTGCATACGACAGGGAGGTCGTGAAGGGCAGTGGTGACACAAGCACCGATGAGACGAGTGAATGGGTCGAGCTGGTAGAGCCAAACGCGCCAGCCTTCGGGCATCTGAGAGGGCGGGATGGTAACACCGCAGAAGAGAGCAAAGATGATTGTGATGAAAGGATCGAACTGGGTGGAGACACGAGGCGAAGGTGTCAGTGCGGAGAGACCCTGGCCGAGCGTGACAGAGAAGAGCTCAGTGATGAGAACCATGAAGAACTGGAAACCGGCGCGCGAAGGGGTCGTTTGGAAGCCAGGCATAAAGTACAGAGGCAGGTAGAAGCAGACGGCACACAGCACGGAGTAAGGCATCTCAGCGAGAATGATGGCCGCAACAAATGAGGTGGTGGAGTACATCTTGGACGAAGACTCGCGGAAGAAAAGAGCACGCTTGATGGCGTACATGATTTCGACCTGGGACATGATGATGGCGGGCAGGACGGTGATCTGAAACATGACGAACACCTTGTACTGCAGCGAAGCCTTGGAGTCGTCCAGGTTGAGATAGGTGAGACCAGTGATCAGAGCGACGGCAATGTGAGCGAACAAGCGGGTAAACAGGTAGTTTGGCGATCGCCAGAAAGAGCGGAACATGCGGCGAACAACAATCTTCATTTGGTGGTAAAGAGGCGAGGCGTATTCCTTCTCGAGCTTGTGGCCAGCCTGGTTGCTGGCGGAGACGCGCTCTCGCTTCAATTCGATAATGGCATCCTTAGTATGAGCAAATTCAGGGCTATCCTCCCAGATGTCGGCCCAGTCGCGGTCGCCAACACGGGGCATGCTACCGGCACCAATGGCCTCTAGCATATACTCAGCAACGTTGTCGGTCGGGGCGGCTTCAGCACCATAGCGCTTCAGATAGGCACGCAGAATAGCAGCATCCTTTCCGATATCGCCAAAGTACACGGTGCGTCCTCCTCGCTGCAGCAAAAGAAGCCTGTCAAAGTTCTGGAACAGCGCGGCGTTGGGCTGGTGGATCGTGCAGAGAATTGCCTGGCCGGCGGCGGCCAGCTTCTTCAAGAAGCGAACAATGTTGAAAGCGCTCTGGCTGTCCAAGCCGGAGGTGGGCTCATCCAAGAACAAGAGCAGTTCGGGTTTGGCAGCAAGTTCGACTCCGATGGTAACACGCTTGCGCTGTTCGACGGTCAATCCAGCCTCGGGAGATCCAATGATACAGTCGGCAATGTTTTCCATTTCCAGCAGGGAGATAATCTCTTCGACATAGGCATGTCTTTCGGGAATGGGAGTTTCGTAGGGTTGGCGCAGCTCCGCAGAGAATCGCAGAGCCTCACGGACTGTCTGGGTAGGCTCGTGGACATCAAGCTGCTCAGCATAAGAGGTAGATCGCTGGAACTGTTTTCCGGGCTTGGCACCATCAACCAGGACGTCTCCGTAAATGACACCGATATTCTTACGGGCAGCCAAGACGTCGAGAAGAGTGGTTTTACCAGCACCAGAAGCACCCATGAGCGCGGTCAGCTCGCCAGGCTTCACGTAACCGAAGACGTTGTTAAGGAGTCGTCGAGTACCGCCGGGAACGGGGACATCGTAGTTGAGCTCCTCCCAAGTCAGAACGCTTTCAGAGTTCATGGTCAGATCAGAGCCTTGCTCATTAGATTTGTCCCTTCGCTTGGCATCACGCTTGTCGGTCAAGGCCGCATTCAAGGTTTCCAGCTCTTTGGTAGGCTTTGCGTAAACCTTGAATGAGCTTCCTCCCATGTTGAACTTGATGATTTCACCAAGCAGCACGTTCAAACCCAAGAAGAAGACAATCAAGGCCATGACAATACCCCAATTGCGCCATAAATCACCGGGAAGGTACTGGAATCCACTGGAGATGTAGTCTCGGCCCCTAACAAAGGTCGTGCCAGAAGTAGAACCGGGAAGGGTACAGACTTGATGGTTGATGTCGTCGTATCCAGGCCCTGAGGGAATAAGCGATTCAGCAGTGCAAGTGAGATCGATTCTTTCGAATTCGTTCTCCATCAGAGAGCTGAACGCGAGACCCAAAACGTTGATCCAGTAGATCCATCGAAGCCAGACCTTTTCAGACTGGTACTGAATAAGATAGCCGGATGTCGTGATGAAGAGCGTAATGATGACGACGGCAAACTTGATGGCGTAGTCAAAATCCGGACTGATACAGCCGAGAATTCTGAAAAAGAGCGTCATCGCAATGTTACCGGAGAGAATCATCAGATAGAAAGTGAAGAATGCGCCTGCATCTCGAACCAGACCCGTCATAAAGTATACAATGATGGAAAAGATCAAGATCTGAGAGGCCGCAAACGCCTGATCGACAAAAATTTGAGCAATCCAAAGGGCTGAAGGTCTATGAAAGGCGTATGCTTTGTGCTTATTCACAATCGCACGTCCCGTCATAACTCCAGCAAGTTCTGAGAAGGCCTGGAATGCGTTGAAGAGGAGTGCCACGAACAAGAGACCACCTTTGCTGAAAGCACTGGCAGAGGTTTGACCAAGGTTAAGATAGAGGGTACCGAGAACAATAGCGACCAAGATACTGCGAGCCCAGCCAACAGTAAGATTGAAACGATCCTGAAGCTTGAGAATAAACTGTCGCTTCATGATGGACCAGACCTGAATGTGGAAACCAACTTGGTAGGCGCTCCGCTTCGATGTACCGCGCTTGCCCTCCTTAAAGGCAACCAAGAAGTCGTCGTGCTGCTGTTTCTCTTGCTCGAGGTTAGCCTTGTATTCGGCGATTTCGTTTTCAATCATCTTTTGGTAGGGAGACGCCTTGAAAGAGGCCATAAGAGAGTCGGGGCTGTGAGGGGCATTTTCGGGGGATCGACCGGGTTGATATTCGCGTTCGAACTCGTCGGTGCAGCCAGTCACGTAGTCGGGCGTCGTTTGTCGGGGCTGAGGCAGAAAGCCGAGGCCTTCAAAGTAGGCACGAGCTTCCTTTGCGGGTCCAAAGTAGACTTGACGTCCCTCGTCAATGACCATGACCTTGTCGAACAAGTTGTAAATGTTCTCAGAGGCTTGGTACAGGGAGACGAATGTACAGGTCTTGTAGAGGTCGGTTTGGATTCGCAAACTCTTGGTGAAGTCGAGTGCGGTACTGGCATCGAGACCACGGGTACTGTTATCCCACGAGAGGATGCAGGCATTCGTGATCATCATCTCGGCGATGGAGACACGCTTCCGCTCACCACCAGAGACACCTCGGACGAAAGCATCGCCGACAATGGTCTTTCTGGTGTGCTCAATGTTGAACATCTTGAGGAGTAAGGAAATGACATGCTCCTTGAACTCGGTCTTGGTCATGCTTCCGGGTCGCTTAGCAGGCATCTTGACGTCCAAAGCGAAGCCCAGGGTTTGCTCAACAGTCAGCGTGGGATGATGGATATCATCTTCAGCGTTGTAGACAGTCTCGCCGCGGTATCGGTCAAACTCTTGGGCTGTCCATGGGCCGTAAAAGACATCTCCTTGAACGCCAGTATATCCGTAGCGCTGATTGGCAATTGTCTTGAGGAAGGTCGTGCAACCTGATCCAGGCTTTCCCAAAACCAAGATCATCTCTCCGGGCTTGCACACGCCCTGGAAGCTATCGAGCAGCGTGGCCTCTGTGAATTTGGGGCCGAGGCCGACCATACTCAGTGCCGGAGTGATGACGTTGAAGAAGTCGACGACGGCATCAGGGAAGGTCTTGACAAAGTTGGTAAAGCCACCAATGCCTCTAACCGTCAGGCCATCCCAGCAGGTTCCAATATGCTTGGATCGGATTCCAGCTTGTGCGCTAGCATCGACGTCACCTCTCATGGCAGCCTCCAGGTCGAAGAGAGAGACATCGTCGGCGTCATCTTCTGCTGTGACCGTGGCTCCCTTCTCAGGATCGGATGATGACTGATGTTTATTCTTGCGGCTTGCTCGAGATACACCAGTAAATTCTCGCTGTAGGACAGCAAATTGGGCTTCGGCCTGCTCAACAGAGACTCCCGTTTGCACTCTGGCGAGTTCGTTGGATGAGCGCTGACCCTCAACTCGAGTCTCAACAGAGTTCGAATCCAGCTGTTCGCCAAGCTCTTTTGTTGTTTCTGAGTTTGCCGTGCTGGGCAGTTTCTCCCCGTCAGGGAGCTTCTCCCCCGACATGTTGACCGATTTGGTGAAGTGTTGTATCGTTGGATGATGTATGATGTGATGAAAGTCGTTATCGAGTTGTTGAAGGGTGTCTGATCAGGATACCTCGAGGGTCCTTGCGTCGCCAAAAACGAATAGCGAATGAGGATATAGCGAAGAAGAAAGAGAAAACTTGTCAATTCCAAAAGACTTTTGATAGCGAATATTAATTTAGGAGTTGATGGCAAGTGAATGCAATTATGGCTTCAATCCGTTTGTATATGACGAATCGAGCAAGCGGTGGGTCAAAGCGGTGTGATTCTACCAGACGAATCTACCAGACAGATAAACGAAGAATTAGACTAGTATAAAGAAGATATAAAACAGCCCCAATCGCCAAAACCTCTACTGACAACCAAAGCTGGCTATCAAGTAATGACCAGAATCACCAGCCGAGCAAAATCAGGCGGCCCAGAGCTTTGTATTCGATTTTGCTCCCACGGCTAGATCACAAAAAGGAAAAAAAAAAAATCGGGCCGGCGGAGCAACCAAAGGGGCTGTTAGTCTGCCAAGCGGTGCTGGGGCCTGATAACGACATGCAAACTCGCCTCACAGCTGGCATTACAAAGTTCTCTCTCGGCATCTCTCCAGCCAGCAGATCCACCTGCAGGGCGGTTGGCAGCAGCCCAGGTTCAAGTTTGGCCAGCACAGCTCAGCCGCCAAAAGTCCGAGCGCGAGGGACATGGCCGGAGCTACAGCTGCCCACATTGTAAAGCCCGGCGTTGAGGCATCCACTTCAGACGCACAAATTGGGGGTTGCCGGGGACGGTGGAGCTGGCCAGGAGAGCTACGAGTAGGTAATACGTCGTACTTGTCTAGATAGAGTAGGCAGGGAAGTGGCAGGCCGAAGGCGATCCATATTGGACCCAGCCGCTGATGGGTGCTATGCCAGCTATAAACTTTGAATGTGACTGACAAAGGCTGACACAAACGGGCAGATTCCCTGCTTCAAGCCCCCCCTGACTTCTGGAACTGGTCTCTGGGCACCTACAAGCAAAGTACATGTGCACTTTGGCGGCAATTTGGGCGGGATATCTTATAAATGCACGTAGGTAGGCCATATTCCGATGCGGAGATACGGAATTACAGCCACCATCAGTTTCTCATCACGGGCAAGCATTGGTTCCGGCATTGGATCCAGTCACCAACCAAAGTTTGCGTTTCCAACGGGCAATTTGCTGACTGCCTGGTAGAAAAACAATTTGTTCCCGTGCTGTCACCGCGCTGGCTTTGCTTCCAGTGACACCTTGGCCGTCGCTGAGACGCTCCAAGTGCTGCCAAAACTCAAAGACGTGGTACCGAAAACGGCTGCGAGTAGATTGATGGCGCACAGCTGGTGGCGCTGCGACATGGTCAGAAACCGTGGGGCGCTTAGCGCTGGGGCGACTCAGCAGCTCCGACCATTTGCCGGCATCAGCTGGCGCAGAGTTTTCCAGTTGACGCTGCAGTGCCGTATCAGATCTGTGGTGAGCGAGTTGACGAGTACGATGGCTGATGGGCGGTCGAATACGCCCCGGAAGTATTTAATACGCACTCGGAACTCCGCGAGAAAAGCGGTTCTTGATTACCCCGTTGCTGCACTACAAGTACAACCGCAGGCAGAGGAAGCGTTTTCACATACGCCGCCGGTACAAATTGGAGTCAATCAATTTGTCAAGCCCAGCCCCCAATGCCATGCAGGGGCCAAGATTGATATCCACAGCCCTCTCTCTGGTTACAAAGCAACCGCATCCTACCTACGGAGTACATACACGCATGTACTTATCTTTGCTGTTGAATACCTGACTTGTCACAGAATTAACCCACTTTGATTTCCGAGGACCACATTCCCTCGTTGACGAAGTAAGCGAAGATTTACACGTATACCTTATGTATACCTGCTTTCCGTAATAAAAGCACTTACCACTTCCAGACGCACGCAGAACTAGCAGTTAGCACGGATCGCAAACTCTATGCTGACTTGCTCAGTATCGCTGTCCGGCGTGGAGAGCGGCGCTCGGCGCTCGATGCTCGCTGTTTGCTCTTTTCTCTCCCTTCCTAGTTGGCTTAGCATACATTAGTGTGCCGGGGGAATTGAGGCGGGCCGCGGGTGCCCCATTTCGGTCAATCTCCTTGCTCTGCTTCGTTGGTGTTGATGGCGGTTAAAAGCCGTTAGTAATGCCTAGCAAAACTTCACGAGAAGGCTGAGACATTCCTTCAGCTGTCCCACGTGCGCTGCAACGTAATCTGTTGTAGTATTTGATATCAATGCTTGTCTCATTCAGCCCGCCGGGTAATCCTTGGCACAGGTTGTTCCATTATTCTAGCACTCGTATTTCGTATCTTAGTAGTACTCCGTATAGTACTAATCCAATCCAACCCGGCAAGGCTTGAATATTTCGGTCTCCTCCGATGGATGCTAGGCTCAAGTCCCATCAACTAGGTACTACTGACAGCGTGCGGCACCCCGCCGACCCTTTGCCCATCGACTTGTACGTAAAATCATTGGGAAATATCAAGTGAGAGAGGCAAATGACCTTCTGTATCTATGTGGGGTTACAAATGTGAGACGCCGTTTACTACAGTTTACGACTGCCTCTGTCTCACCGATTGCCCTGCATAAAGGATCCAGATCAGCGAGAGAAGACCGCTATCAACTTTCTTTGCTACAAACGTGCTCGGGTGCAATGCCCAGCCTGCTATTACCGTAGAAGCGTGGAGAAACTATCGAGCTAGGCTTGACTCTGATTAGTTGGCACTCCACCAGCCTTGGATCAGGAGTATCCGAACTTGTTCGCCGGATGACTCCTCCCCTAGCACGAAACTAAATACTTGGGTTTACCCGCCATGGAGGGAGCTTCCGGTAGCGTCGCTCTTCGCCAATAGCAGTCTTGAAATCATCATACGAGGATCGCCAACTTCCTTTTGCTTTCTTAGGAGGGAGGTAGCACATCCACTGATACAGAAGACTCCTTCACCTGTAAATGCATCTTTGGCATCAAGACTCCAAAGGTCACCAGTAAGAAGGTTTAACTCACAAAATCCATGACGTACAGGTATTGCCAGAAAAAGACGATCTTTTGATGAGAGCAGGCCTCACAGCAGGCTGTGACTAAGGGGATCAAGTCAGCCAGTAACATCTCGGCGCATACAAGAGCACACATATGGGGCGCCATCTACCAATATGGGTACAGAGTACCGGCATGTGCTTTGCACATGAAAAGTCCGCCATCTAACTCCTAATTCCGACAACCAACGAAGTATTAAGGGCGCGCCCAACCTCTGCCGTTACATTGGCCTTATCAGCTCCAGCCCAGCATAATCATGCAAGGAGTAGCAGAGCGTAGCCTCAATGCTTGTACCGACGGCTAATCTTTGGCATCTGTACGAAATACTTGAGGTACCTACATATGTGCTAGCTACTAGTACAAGTAATTACACGTTAGCAAACGCATATTGATGATGAGTAACGAGTAATTAGTCTCTCCCAATAGACCACAACCTGATTCAAAGACTTACTAGTTCATCTACGACTCCTACTGGCGATGCAATAGGCTATGTGTCTCGTTTGTAAGTACGGTACAAAGACGGAAATACAAAAGTTAGAAACAATATCAACAATACCAAAATCCAACACCTGCATGCATCACAAAACACAGGTAGTATACTAACATTACTACTACTGTAATATTCTAATTTTACTTATTTTACGTTTTAAACGTAGCATTATGCAAGAAACATCGTAAATGTCAAGAGGCAAAAAGGCAAAAGAGGTGCGCCAAGCGCAAACTGACAACACAGCCTTGCACAAACAGGCGTCGGTGATACCATTTCACATTTGTCATATATGTACCCTCCTCGATCGTTTGATCACCCTGACCATCCTGACCTCGTCTCATTGCTCTGTAATCAAATCGTGAAACTCCGCCGTTTGCTCCAGCTCAGTGGATCAGATATTCCGCAAATACGGAGACGATGGTTGCATCGTCGCTCATCGTTACTGCAGCCTGAAACCCCATGTAGTTGCCAAATCGCCACGATAAACATGCGAGCCGAGACGGCATGTTCTTCAAAGCTGGTCTGCTTCTCTTTACTCTCAGGCTGAAAGAATTGTAAATGATATTGGGCATTAATAGTGGTGCTTTACCCTAATATTAGTTGCTTTATTGGGTATATACATGGTATGAGGCTTTGACCTGCCATCTCAGGAAGAGTAGATGCTGAGATTTGATGCCTTATTTTGATGATAATAATAGCAACACAGCCTCTCTTATCCTGTAGCTATTGGACCATATGTCGCTGATTTGACCTTGTGGTGCATAATGGCATCGATCCCACGCTTTGGTGTCCTTAGACTGACTGAGCATGCCGCAGAATATGTATATATAGTCCATCGTGGATATCTGCCAAGTCGTAAGACTCTACAGTTTCATCAAGTCAGTCTTTGTATGCTTCGCGAGTAACTCCTGGCGGTCCAAAAAAAAGATTCGTAGTGGCATTCCTATCGACTTGCAAACGCGAGTGTATGTTCAAAGAATAGTGGATGCAAAAGTCACCCTAATGAGAGCGGAAAGATCCAAAGAGTGAATATTCCACTAGCGGCATGTCGAGTCGTGTCTCTAGAAGTAGCATCAGCAAAATGCAATGCGCCAAGACGCTAGATACTGCTCCCATTCCTTTACTGCAGCTTTTCGTAAAGATACAGATCCACAGATTGCGTCTCTGCGCCAAGGACGGGCAGTGGCAAAGTCTGACTATGCAGCTCAGTCCATCCCTCTTGCGATAGCAGGTCAAACAAGGCCTCTTCCGAAGTGTGCCGCGGCTTTGTGGCCAAGAAGACCTTTGTTGAGAGTGACTGCTCGCCGGATGACGCCTCACTGGATGACGAGGACGAAGCGGCCGCATGTGCTATATTAGATGTGTGCAGCGCAGACAATGTCTCAACCAGCGCGGGAAGCATGTCCACGTTGTACGTGCAGTCACTAAGCATGACCAGGTCCCAGCGGTGGTTTTGTGTCTCGAAATCAAACTCCCCCTTTCGACCTTCTTCCCAATCAAGGTTCTCGTATAGAAGCTTCACGGGAGGAGTGTTGCTGGACTTTGATTTCCGTGCTTGGAGGAGCCGGGACATGTTGGACCTGGTTCGACTCTCTGCTTCCTCCAGATCCGTCATGAGGATGGTGCATCTACGGCTTGGGGGTGGCCGCATCCTTGGTATCACAGCACTCAAGCCTCCTCCCAGGATTCCAACACCACATCCCAGCTCTAAAACGTTGATTGGCTTCGGGCCAGCGAAAAGCTTCTTCAAAGCTTTCAAGCCAGAAGGTTCGGTATCCGTTGGCATTGGCAGCATCCATGACTCTGCAATTGCGCAGAATGCAATTACTCCCGCATCCCAAATATGTCTAGCAATGCTCTCGCCAATTTCCTCTTCAAATTCGACGTAATCTTCTTGCTCAGAAGTTCCGGGTAAATACAGTCTCCTCGTAAAAACTTCAACCTCAGCTTCGTCGGGATTCAATGTGAACCAGACCGGCATTATTTGTCCATCTTGCTCTTCCTCCTCCGAAACAACTGTACTAGCAAGTATGTCGGATACCGTACGCGCAGAGAACTTCTCTGTGCTGATGCATAGAGAGATTTTGTTCTTGGAGTTTAGTGTTTGTTGCATCAGCCTAGATATGTCAACTGAAGGTTTCGCGACGCGCATTCCAGATTGCCATTGTAACTTTGTAGTCTCTAGCGAGAGCTTAAATAAATCCTTCTTTTTAGATTCTGAGTCAGTAGATATCTCGGCATGGATAGCTACGTCGATTGGCTCGTCTGGATATAGAAATGAGTCTCCTAGGTCGGTAGTTATTGTGAAGACCAGATCGAGCATGAACTTTTTCCCGGAACGAGACAGAGTTGGTGATTTCAGTAGCCGTATGTAATGCATTATGGCGATTGTATTAAACTCTGGCCAAAAACCTCATGCATCGACAATTGAGTTGAAACTGGGCAATCGCATTCATGGTGTTTCCGTCGACGGAATTTTGCTGATGGCTTAGTCATCATCCTGCAAGCGTGCCTCCATACAGGAGAACAGCAATTTGTTGCTACTTTGTTCAATGCTGTGCTGCGAATCAGATACTCGAGGGTTATTAAAGAGTTGGCTTACACGGAATGTGAAAAAATTTCCTTGTTTTGCGCTGTGTATGACACTCCAGAATCATCAAATGAGATCTTGAGTTAGAAGAGACCATCTTCACTGTGCCACACACCAAAGCATACTAGTATCACTTGTATCAGTAAGTAGACACTGGCAGCGAAATCATATAGGAATTGCTCATGGCACCCTTCTTATCTCTCTTTAATATGACTTTTATTCTTCAAAGGAGTTTTTTTTCTCTCTCGCTTGTTTCTCTTTCGTCTTTGCTCCTAATTATGTCCTCTATTTTCTCTATTTGAACAACTGCAAACTCTCCAGACATAAAGACATATCTATCTTCTCATACTTGAACCTTCGGCTCCAGCCATTTAGACTGCCGGTGATCCCCGAATTTGGAACATACTCTTTTGTCAAATGCCTGGAGGGCTTTCCCCATCTTTCCTTGCTTCATCATCTACTATCAAGGTCGAAATCAACATCCATCGATTCACGTACTTCAACATACATGTTAGTAGTAACCCCATTGTGGGGCAAAAAGACGGCGACCTTATCACCCCAAGTTCATAGAGAGAGTGAAGTGCGGCAATCGACTCAACATGCCTTTCAGATGGTCAACCATGTGTATAAGGAGGTAATATATGTCATCAAATGCTCAAAATAACGATGCGTAGCAGCCGATTTTTATCTTCCAGGTTACCCTAGCTTAGGCATCAGCATAATCCAGATCCCCTGATGTAAACGAGATCCCCCGCTCTTTACAGGGCCTCGTGGCAGCCTCTAGTTGCATGCGGCTGCAGCTTACTAGGCGTTTCCCTAGCTCTAAGTGGCTGAGGCTGTGTCTCCAAGGCATCTTTGCAGGCAGACCACATGCAGCGAAAAAGGGCGTAGTGGACTGGATCCACGATCTCACTGCCAACATCCTCCTTGGGCCTCTATCTACAGTATCTACTGTTCAGCCAGCACATATAGTAAGCTGGATGATGGTTGAACAGAAACAAACTGTAAAATTCATAGCCGCCTGTACTATGCCTCGCCACAAGGTGAGACTCGCAGCTTTGCGCGCAAAAACACATTCAAGCCAATTGAACACTTGAACAGAACAGCGCCACGCTGAGGCTACCCGATCAGCCGCTTACTGGAGATCAATCCGATGGCCTCATTACTAAAAAGCCACCCCTGCTTTCTATTTTTCTTCTTCCTGTCTTGGCATACGGCTCCCTCGTGTTTGTTTCTTACACGACACCCCCGTCGGCAATGCCTTGAAACAGGGGCTGAACATCTGGTGCCTGTATCTAGAGTGCGCGAGTTCCATGATTCGACCGCCAGCAGTCAATGCCGCTGCCAATTCTTATCCGGCTTCTGACAGACGTGTTCAATGAACTTTACCAGGCCCAGACAGGTGACTGAGCCCGACCAAGGTGAGTTCACCGTGTTCTAGCGCAGGTAGCCGCCAATGCCTCCACTCTGTGTGCCCCCCGAAGTGGATGTTTCTCCAGAAGGCTGAGGGAGAGTTGGCTAATAGGCGTTTTCTCTCTGCATTATAAGTACGGCAGTTGAGGACCTCAATTGAATCGTGTGTCTAAAAAAAATCTCCTATCATTGAAAAACAGAGGTCTGCCGTCGTCTACCCATACCTCCAAGGCGATCTCTTCCATGCCATTTTCATTGCTATCAATATTCAGGGGCATCAGGAAATCGTTTAGAGCCATGACCAATCTCAACAAGAAGACTCAGGCGCCTATGCCCATTGTCCGCGTCCAGCAGCAGGAACTGCCCATCCGTGGACACCCCGTTACAGATACAGACGCCTCGATAGACCCTCCTCCCTACGATGCTCAACCCAGCCCAATTGATCTTCAACTTCACCACATTGTCTCCAAAGATGCCCTTGTTGTCAAGATCCAACCTCCCAAGGTGCCACCAAAGCCAATCAGCCATGTAGCCTGTGATGTGGTGCTCGTCATCGACATTTCCGGCAGCATGTGCTCGTCTGCCCCGGTGCCCGGCGAAGGCGAGGACACGGGTCTTTCAGTCTTGGATCTGACCAAACATGCGGCTTTCACAATCATCGAAAGCATGGATGAGAGAGACCGCCTTGGCATTGTGACATTTGAGACCGAGTCCAGAGTCATTCAAGCCCTGGAGCCCATGACGGATGGCAACAAAGAACAGGCACGCAAGAGAATCAGGGCTCTGAAGCCAATGGGATCGACCAATCTCTGGCACGGCATGCTCGATGGAATAAAACTGTTCAAGAATGAAGAAGACAGCGCTCGGGTGCCGGCCATCATGGTCCTAACAGACGGCGAGCCAAACCACATGTGCCCTGCCCAAGGCTACATCCCAAAGATGAGATCCATGGATCCGCTGCCCGCTACAATTCACACATTTGGATTCGGATACAGTCTTCGATCCGGACTGCTCAAGTCCATTGCCGAGTTCAGTGGTGGTAACTACGCTTTCATCCCAGACGCAGGCATGATTGGAACTGTCTTTGTCCACGCCGTGGCCAACTTGCAGTCTACTTTTGCAACCAAGGCTTCACTTGAAATAAGATACGCATCCAACTTGGAGATTGAGCAGACGCTGGGCGATGCTGTTGACAAGCAATCCGCTGTCGATGCCGGCAAGGGTCAGATGCAGTTGACTATTCCTCTAGGCAATATCCAGTATGGACAGTCACGCGACATCTGGCTTCGCCTCAAAGGCACCACAAAGGATAAACAGATTTCAGACTGTGCCATTGAAGCCACTCTTACTTTTGAAGAAGCCGAGAAATCGGTTCCCAACTTGAGCTCAGTCCGCCTCGGCGACAGTACAACCGGCGCGGTAGCAGCTCTCTCCGCCGATGAAGCAGTTTATCACGAATCTCGAGCCCTTGTCTGCAGCTTCATCTCATCACTATTCCCTCTTGGATCCGATGGAGAATACCGGGCACTCACTGAAAGCGCCCAAATAGCAAAAAAGCGACAAGAGCTGGCACAACTCATCGCAACCCTACCCGGCCGACATCTCACTGACGGATTGAATAAGTCGCTCATGGAGGATCTCATCGGCGACCTGCCCAAAGGACAAATCAGCCTCGCCATCTCCACGCCAGAGTTCTTCATCAAATGGGGCCGCCATTTCCTGCCCTCATATGTCAACGCTCTGACCCGACAAATCTGCAACTCGTTCAAAGACTCCGCGCCCCTTCAATTCGGCTCCCAGAGCCCCCTATTCATAGCCTGCCGCGACCGTCTAGACAATGCCTTTGACAGCATCCCTGCGCCACCGCCATCCAGGGTCGTTCTACGCCATAACGGAGGTCGCCAAGCTCGATCCTTCATCGCCGCTCCCTCATCCATGGCACGATACCGCGACGCCTCCGGAGTGTGCTTTGCCGGCTCGACCATCGTAGAACTCGCGTCCGGTCGAATCACAGAGATGCGGAAGCTTAAACGCGGCTCGCGAGTCTGCACGCCTCTGGGTCCTCGAAAGGTGCACACGGTTCTCAAGACAAAAGTATCAAACGAGACACTTTACCGGATTGGCTCGATGCTCGTCACGCCCTGGCATCCCCTTTCCATGGACGGCAAGAGCTGGGACTTCCCGGCCAACATGTTTGATGCGCCGGTGCTGTACACGGGGTTCATCTACTCGGTGCTGTTGCAGCCTGATGGGAGACCGGATGCGCACGCCATTCGTGTTGGTGGTGTTGCTTGGGGCGTTACGCTTGGGCATGGCATCACTCGAGGAATGGACACTCGGGCTCACGAGTTCTTTGGCGATTACATGAGAGTGAGGGTTGGGCTGCTGAAGCTCGCAGATGCGGGCAGGAAGGGCGTGGTCAAGGGACAGGGCATAGAGCGAGATTCGACAACTGGACTTGTCAGGGGATTTCGGAGCATGGCTGGAAGGGCGAATGCACCGGCCAAGAAGGAAATATCCATCTAAGAAAGGAAATATGAGGGACTTAAGTGAGCTGGTGTTAACGAATTAACGAGATAAAAGAAATGAAGTGAGAAGAAGGTCCATAGTAGCAGATGCTATTAGTATAGTTGATGAAAAGAGTAACAAGCAAACAAATAAATCTATAATAACATCTAAAAGCCTCACTTCCCTATAGTTCACAAAACAAATCACCAGCTTTTCGTCCTTCATCTCCCCCTTTCTCCCCCTCTCAGTCCATTCACTCCCGCACAAACAACCCAGCCATGCCCATCCCCGTCCCAATACACATGCTCACAACACCAACCTCCCCCCCATCCCTCCTCAGCCCATGCATCAGCGTGCTAGTCATCCTCGCCCCTGTGGCCCCCAGCGGATGTCCCAGCGCAATCGCCCCTCCATCCGGATTCACGCGGCCCTTTTCCCACGCCTCCATCAGCCCCAGCTTGCGCAGGCAGTAGACAAACTGGCTCGCAAACGCCTCGTTCAGTTCCCACCGGTCCACGTCCTCCGTCTTCAGGCCCAAGCCGTTCAGCAGCTTCGGGATGGCGATCGCGGGACCCACGCCCATCTCGTCCGGATCGCAGCCAATGGTCGTCGCCCCGACGAACTTGCCCATGATGTGCGAGCCGAGGCCCAGCTCTGTGGCCGTGCTGCGCTTCATCAGCAGCGTGGCCGCCGCTCCGTCTGAAATCTGGCTCGAGTTGCCCGCCGTGGACTTTCCGTCCGGCTTAAACGCCGGCTTCAGCTTGGCCAGCGACTCGGCCGTCACGCCATCTCTGATGCCATCATCGCGGGTCACGGTAATCGTCTTCTGCTCGCCCACCGGCTGGCCCTGCTTGTCCACCTCCTGGAACCGCGTCGTCACTGGCACAATCTGCGAATCAAACCAGCCACTGTCCCTCGCCCTCGCCGCCCTCTCATGCGACGCCGCCGCCACCTGGTCCTGAATCTCCCTCCCCACGCCATACCGCTCGGCCACATTCTCCGACGTGATGCCCATCGGCATGACACAATCCCGGACATGCTTGTTCGGCGAGTCCCGCAGCTCGGGCCACACGTCCACCGGCACGGCCCGACTTCCGTAATTCCTCGTCATGCTCTCCATCCCGGCGCCGATGCCCACGTCCATGATGCCCGTGCGGATCTGCGCCGCCACCAGCGAGATGCTCTGCAGCGACGACGCGCAGGCACGATTCGCCGTGAAGAGGCTCGTCGAGTTGGGGTACCCTGCGTGATTGAGCGCCATGCGCGCTGCCTTGGAGCCACCCAGCTCAGAGAGCACGACGCCCACGCCGACGTCCTCGACTACGGCCGGGTCCATTTCGGGAACAGCCTCGCGGGTGGCCTTGAGGACGACGGAGAGCAGCTCCTCGGGGTAGGCATCCTTGAGACCGCCCTTGTAAGAGCGAGTTACCGGCGTGCGGAGAGAGGAGAGGATGACGACGTCGGAGGGGGCCTTGGTGAGAATTGCAGAGAGCCCTTTGGACATGATGGGCTGTGTAGATGTGCGTATGTTTCTTATATCAAGTTGAAGTATGAATATATGTAAATAGTTCCGGGATATAAGAGGGTCAGATGGTGCCAAGGAACCACGAGATGCTTGTAAGATGGCGGCAATTACTACTTGCTGCTGCCAGTTACTGGAATAGAATTAAGGTGATAAAAAAAGGTGTAAATTGGAAAAAAAAAAAGAAAAACTCGAAGTAGGAGTCAAAGACACAGGAGAAATAGGACAGAGAGAAAATGAAATACAAGTCATCCCTCACTAACATCTTACCAATTCATCCCCAATCTTCCGAATCGATGCCCTGTTCCTCCCCGCAGCGCCACTCTGGGTCCCCCGCCCGTATCCGCCGCTGGCAGTTGCTGTCGGCAATGGGTCGGATTCTACCCCGGAGTATCCCGGACGGGCAAATACAGCTACATTCATGCTACATAACTTCCAAGATCCAATTACACATTCGCTGTATACCTTAGGTACTGCATTTGATGCAATTGGGATTAAGTCTATATCTGCATGCCTATAGCAACAGAAACCTCGAGCTTCTCTACTCTGAAAATACTATCATGTTAACCGAATTATTCGGTGGAGTCTCATGTCTCGAGCCTCCGGAAGATTCTCCCGGGCCGCCGGCTATCGTTGCCGCACTTCTGCGTGCACTGCCGGCTAAGAACTTATCCAAAAATCATTACAGACTTTACTCTCTTGCTTGTTGGACAGTTAATGCCAATTCTCTTTTGTTTACTCTTACTCATCACTCTTAAACAGAGCGTATATCGCAAATGCTCGTACAGTACAATAGTCCCCGACCTTAACTGTGCTGTGCTGTACCGTTTGACCCTAGCCCTATCGCCCTTTTCCAGAGTCCCTAGAGCTTCAATTCCCTTATCCGACTTCTTTCCGACAGCAACCGCCGCGTCTCACATCGTGGTACTGCCACTCTCAAGTAACCTCAGATATCAAATCAAATTCAATTCAACAAATATGGTCATCATTCGTCAAAGAGAAGAATAACTCGGCTATAAAACACAATAGGCAAATATTTCCAATCATGTGCCGACTCGGGAGGATATCTCTTATATGATTAGCTTCAATCTGATCTGACATAGCCCGGCTTCTCTTGCCTTTCTCTCTCCATTCCTACTAATATTGAATGCCCAGCCCAACACGGCGGCCATCTGAGGCCGCTCCACCAGCTTTCAATTTCTTTTGTGGGCTGTCCGTTTGAGCCTCGCCTTCAGCAGCCAGCTTGCGCTTTTCAGCCCCAGCAGCAGTTTTGCTTCCAGTAAAGAGCTTGGCGTGCATGGCTGCAGACTTCTCAGCAGGTCCTTCTGGGGCATCCAGAGACGGCGCGCCGCTATACTCTTGGCCGGGGTACTGGCGCAGCATCTTTGCCGCTGCTCGACTCGCCTGGCTGTCGTAGACTTGCTCCTCGTCTTCCTGTGAGCTGATAGGCCCCCCGGTGGCAACATTTCCAGATGGCTGAGAAGACAGTGTCTGGACTGCCTTTACCGATTCTATGGCTTGCCTAGCAAGTTCTTCATTGTCCTCCATTGAGATTGTGCTTTCTCGTCTTCTTCTTCGCGATTGTCGCTGAGAGGGTGGAGTTGTAGGAACAAATCGTCGTTGTGAATAGCGAGATCTCGGCTCCGTTTGCGCCACCAGATTTACTGACGGCAATAGGCCGCTGTGGTCTCCCCGCAGATTATGCATGGGAGTGGTGGGAAGTGACGACATGGACTGGGCGTTCCGCTGGTGCCTCCTAACCAGCCGAGAAGCAGGTCGAGCCATGACCATGGGAGTTGACGGCGCACTGTTGTTGTTGGCCGCTGCGTTGTTGTTTTCTTGTGTCTGGCTCTGGCTCATTGCCTCCAGAAGGGCAGACAATCCGTGCTCCCGCCCATCAGTCTCTTCCCGGTGTAGAATGCGAGACGCTCCGCGATGCTGCTGCGGCGTCGATGTAATCCCATGTTTGGGCGTCAAAGCGCCATGAAAGATGCCTCCGGGGCTGCATAGCATGTGAAAGTGCTCGCGGTTCTCCCGAATTCGGTTCAGTAGCATATCCCGCTCCTCAGCCAGAGATATAGTCTCCTCCTCCTTCTGCTGGATGACCTTCTTGGCCAGCTTAACTCTCCGGCTGAGGGCCTCGTTCTCTTCCGCCGCTGATTCGTACCACATTTTCATCTGCAGGTACTTGTTCTGCAGAGACTCTGATCCAGAGCTGAGCTCGCGCTTCGCCTGCCGAGAATGCTCGGCCATGCGTAATGCGTCCACTTCGCGGCGTATCATGTCGTGTTCCACCGCGGCACGTTTTGACTCTTCGTCCGCTTGTAAACTCAGCAGGTTATATTGTAGTTTGTGATGCGCAGCCTCCATCTTCAGTTTCTGATTCTCGGCGATGCAAGTCTGCAGCATGGCGCGAAGCTCGTCCGCCGAAGCCTCGAGCAGCTGGTGAGGTGCTGGCGGCGCGAATTCGGGTTCGATATCTCGTCCACGCATGGTGTTTAGAATAGTAGCGGGCGGCGAAAAGAGGGCCGACTGCTGAGAATTGGTATAGGCACGTCTCGAGGCGCCATTGCTTGCCGCGACCTGTGTGGAGGGCGGCGGGGTCATGGACGACGGAATCACCGCAATGGCCGGCCTATCGTCGATAACCTCCGTTTTGAACGACTGGTTTGGGTCAATTGGCGACCCTGGGATCTCGGTGGACGGCAGCGTTGTTTGGCTGAGAGGTCCTGTCTCTTGAGGGGTCGATGGGTGGACAGCGGCGAAAGCGAGGTCCTCGACGGTGCCAGCGCCCGTGCCATTGACGCGAGGAACGTCCACGTCCATCTCCGAATCAGAGGCCATCGTAGCTGTATAGGCCTTTGTAGATAGAGCAGTCGTTTCGGGCGCCAGATTGAGCGGAGAGAGGTGGTTGTGTGAAGCGGGCAGCCGAAATCCAATGCGTTAAGCTTCCAATCGTGTCCTCACAACAAACCCAGCTCGCAGAGGAAGATTCGAGGGAGAAAGTGTGATATGTGGATCCCGGTGCGCCTCGGCCTTCCGTCGCCGCCTCTCCCTTGGCGCAAGGGCAGTTCGAAGCGCTGCGACCAAGTATCGTGACTTGCGTTACGCCGTGAACGAATGACGACGCCGCCAGTCCCAGACGGAGCCAATTCACGACGAGCTCGGCGTTGCAGCTGCGGCGAACAGGTCGGTCAAGCTCTACGTCGGGTATCGCGTCGAGCCGCGTCAAGTCTCCCTTGATGTCCGTGCTGGGAGTGGAGTTGTGAGCGGCGAGACGTCGAGGCTGCGAAGGGGGGTCATGGGTTGAGGTTCTGAGAAAACGAGGTGGTGGTACATGCGAGTAGCACCATTTGGCTGGCGCCATTCAGAGGCGGCCGATTCGCAGCTTGTACCTCGTACCTACATGGCCAGGCACGGGAAAAAAACAAATTGAGAGGCTGGCTGGGTTACCGTGGGCGTTAAGCCTACTTCGGCCTGCCTAGCAACGGCGGGCTGAGTGCCGACATTTATCCTTTCGGCAGTTTGGGATACCTAGAGAAGCTACTACTAGTATAGCATCCATATTACCTGTAGGTCTACTGTTACCATCAGACTGTTACTGCTAAATACTACATAGGTAAGTAGATATTACTACTGCTGCTACTGCTGCTATTTTCAAATATCCATGGTAGCTGTGTATTTTGATATGTCGACTGACTTCCTGGTTGAGCTACAGCTGGGGGGTTGGATAATGAAATTGTGGTGCTGGATAACTTCTCCCTTAATCTATAACCGGCTCTACCACTTTGTAGTGGGCAAACAATTCTAGTCGCTATCATCACTACTATCGCCTCTTCTCCATTCGTTGTTGATGCTTTAGTCAATGCCCAACTATGATTGTCTTGCATGTCTCCTATATGTAGAAGATTATACATGCACTAATCTTACACCTACAACTATCTCTCTCCGTCCTCAAAAAACAATCCCTACCCTGAATACAATCTATGAATGACAACAAAGACATCCATCCACCAGAAGACATGATAAAATAAAATAAAAAGTACCCATCCCTTTATACTTCTTCCAAGCTCTTCTTCGGCCACAACAGCTGCACCTCCCTCCCCCTCCTCGTCCATCGCTTCCCAAGACACACCACTTTCCTCGCAAACAAAACCGGCAGTATCAACGGCCAAAACACCATAATCACCACCCACCACAGCACCACCATCCCCTTATCCCACCTCGTCCCCTCCGAGTCGAGATACCACTCCGGAACCCATCGCCCCAGCTTACCCCGCCCGTTGATGCACAGAATGCAAATGATCCCAAAGAGCATCCATCCAGCTATGGAGATTGGTATGAGTATTCGGACGATTGCGCGCGGATCGTACGGCGTGATTTTTGATGATAGTAGCCCATTCCGCTCGAGCACGTAGTGATTTGTGGCTAATTTGTTGACAGCTCTGTATCGTAGCGCAGTTCTTGAATCAAAGCTGGGCGTCGTGAGTTTTATAGTAGTAAGGGCCATTGCAGCGATGTGGTCGTAATCTCGGAGATGATATTCGGATGTTGATATTGGCAATCATTGATGTATTGTTGAGTGGAAGCAAATCAAAGGCTGCTTCCAGCTGACTATCGATTCATAAAAGCCCAGAATCTCCTCCTGGGCAATGCCTTCCTCGCCACAGCGCTTGAGCAACAAGTACATATCTCTAGGCTGAGCTCTGCGTTCAGAAGCGGCCATCAGGACAGTAGTCGCACTCGTCAAGCACTTTCCAATAGAATCAGAAATGCTTGACTCAATAAATGTGTCTGGATGGTGATATTAATACATTACAGATTATTATACATATTTGCAAGCTAATGCAAGCTCCTGCGGTATCTATGCTGCCAGTTCCAACCAATACTCCGAGTGTCGCTCTGCCTGCACACCCGATCCACCGAAAATAATAATGTACAGCTCTACCCTTCAACAGGGACGACCAAAAAAAATTAAGTAACAGAATATATATAGTACGTGGCCTTACCGTAAAATGAAACCAATAAGTTACAATTGAAGGGGGAAACAATCATCGCCCACTGCGAGTTTAGTCCACGTCAGAGTCATCTTCCCCGTTTTCAGCTCTCCACTCTTCCATCTCTTCAGCTGGGACTCGCCCTCGGAGCCATTTCATTGTGGCTGCAGTCCCCTTCTCCAGAATATTCCATTTGGGCACCTTGAATCGGTTTCCCGCCACTTCAAGCCGCTCGAGCCCGTCTTTTCCACCCAAGAGGCCGAGCCGGGGATCCAGATGTCCAATGTCATTGCTCGACACATCAACAACTTTGAGGCCCTTAACGGCAGCTGGATCAAGCTCTGTTAGTTGATTATTTGACGCGATAAGAACTTTTAAATTGGGAAAGCTCTGTTTAAGATCGAGAGGAAGTGCGCTCAGTCGATTGAGCGATACGTCAATCTTTTCCAGTATAGGTGCTTTAAGAAATGTTGTCAACGGACCTAGGCTGGTGATGGTATTCGAGCTCAAATTCAACTCTGTCAGAGCGGGCAAGCTCATATCTTCTGTCAGGTAGGCGTCGCCCGAAATTTTGTTGTGGCTCAGGGACAGAGACGTAAGAGTTTGCGAGAAGAACTGAAGGGATCCGGGGAACGCACTCAGCAGATTATGATGAAGCTGTGCCTGCCTTATCTGGTAACTCCTGGAGAGTTCGGCGCACATTTCCGGGCTCAATGAAGATGTCTCGGTGCGTGAACGGTCGAGGAGCCCGCCTGACTTGACCGGCCAAGCCTCTCTCACCAACGTCTGAGCTCGCGATCTAGCAGGTGAATGCGGCGCAGACGTTGGAGGTGTGGCAAAATCATCGTCACCTTCTGATCTGCTATCTGCATCGTCGGCATTGACTGTTGCCATATTATCCTGCTTCTTCTCAACGTCAAGTTGGCTTATCATGGTAGTGATGGGCCCCTGGCCGGCCGGCTCCTGGTACGGGGGAGGAGGTTCTAGTCTCGTCGATAAGGCCTCCTTGATATCCTCCGTCGAAGCTGAAGCGAATTTCTTGTCCCGTAGCGGGTTGCCACTGAGCCGAAGCAAAGTGAGGCTGTCCATGCGAGAAATCTCAGGCGGAACTACACGGATATCATTGCTAGAGAAGTCTGCCTGGCGTATCTTTTCGAGGCCTGTGAAGCTTAAAGGAATGCTGGAGATGTTGTTTGTGTCCGCCGCAAGGGTCAAAAGACTTGTCCATGTGGCCATATCTGGGAGCTCCTGCAGCCGGTTCATAGAGAGGGTAAGAGTATGGACAACAGGAAGGTTGATCGAGGTATCGGCAGGCACAAGTCGTGTCAGCCTATTTACCGAGACATCAAGAGTTTGAAGCGTCGGTAGAGAGCCAATAGGTTCGTCAATAAGAGTACCCGAAAGCTGGTTTTTCTTCAAATCAAGCTCCGTTAGTGGCAATTTCGATAGTCCCTCGAAAGGAAGCGACTCAAAGCTGTTTTCGCTCAAGTTGAGAATACGCAGCCGAGAAATGTCTTCAATGTTGGACGGCAAGGCAGAGAGCTTGTTTCCATGAATATCGAGAATTTCTAGCGCGCTCAAGCTAGTGAGGCATGAGCTCAATTGTCCGGTGAGGTGATTATTTGCAAGTTTGAGGTCTCGAACCGCCGTCATCTGCGCGATAATCTCAAGGCAGCCATTTTCCAGGCGATTTGACGACTAAAAAGTGTGAACAAATGATTCCAAAGAGTAACAGGGCCGTGGAGATACTCACCAGATTGAGAGTGGTTAACTGTAGGAAGCGGCGGAATCCCATTGGAATCGTTAGCAGCTGATTGCCATGCAAGTCGACTGTCTCGAGCCCCCCAAACATGTTACCACGGCCCTCCTCATCGTTCTCAAGCTCTTCAAGGCTAAGGTCTGGAAACATGGCGTCTTCCAACGTCTCTAGCTCATTATCCGCAGCGATAAGCCTAGTCAACTCCACGCTCTCTGCCCAGCTCCCACCAGCGCCAATAGACTCCATGTCGTACATTTTCATAACATCGCTTGGTATCTCCTTCAGCCCTAAAGCTGCAATGTTCAGCTTACCGCTTGTTCTTGCTGCTCCAATACGCTGTTTCAAAACTTTATCGCCAGCATCTTGGCCCTTGTTCAAATTGAAAGGATCTTCAAATGCTGCATCGTAATTGAAGCTACTACTTGAGGGAATCGCTACCCTTTCGTTAGGTGTCGATGATGCACCAGGCGCCTGATCCTGATCCTGAGTTTGCTTCATAGCCGCTCTCCGAGCTGCCTTTGCTTTGGCAATTTGATCTCGAAGCGCTGTTGATGATTTTTGGGCCGTCTGATTCGGCTCAACAGCATCTTCGTTCGTTGCTGGAGCAGCTGGGGCGATAGTACCGTCCCAAGCAGAGGCACCGCTTCCCGAATTCTCTCCGGCATCCAGTGCTGCTTTCTTGGCAAGCCCGCGGGCGGATGCTTTCGGCTTTAGTGGCCTGGACGCTGGCTTCTGAACCTTCTTCGTCGGTGTTTTACCTAGCTTGTCTGGGGTTGGGCTTCTGAACTCGGGCATAGAAGCAGATGGTTTTGAGGCTATTCCAGAAAGGCGGCTGGCTGGACGAGGTCTCTGTGCGCCGTTGGACGCGACGCCTGGAGTTCTATCAGGAGTACCCTGAATAACCGAAAGAGGTCGCTTGAAAAGATTGGCTGATGACTTTCTGGGATTTGAGAATCCTGAATCGTCTGCTCCGCCACTCGAACCTGGGCGTGACGCATGCCCTGCAGATCCACCAGAAGTATAGCTGGAGCTTGGCCTTGAGGCAGAGCTCTCGGCTCGCGACATGGGCCTGCCTGAGTCAAAGAATGAATTTGTTGACCCTTTTCTTAAAGCGGGGGAAGAAGGCAGATGCGAAAGAGTTTCAATAGTGCGATCAGAAAGCGAGGGTTTCGGCGCATTGATCTGGGGCATGTCTCTCCTCGGGGAAATAGCCGGGGACAAAGGTGAGAGAGCTCGAGGTGAGAGAGCTTGGGGTGAAAAGGCCCGGGGTGAAAGAGCCCGAGGTGAGAGAGCCTGAGGCGAGAAAGCCCGAGGCGAAAGAGCCGGCTCTCCATCGTCGACTTGGTGTGATAAGCTTGCAGAGTCATTCAAATATGAGGTGAGCAGGTCGTTGGATGCTTCTGTAGAATCTTCATCATCCCGCTCAAAACCAAGCTTGCTGGTCTCTGACGGCTCTGCCCAAGGCTTATACTGTGACGCTGGGGCGTTTGTAGTAGTGCTCCATCGTCGGGACTCAGATATGTTTCGTAAGGGCTTCGACACCGGGGCAGCAGGTCTCGGGGCAGGCGTGCGATTGGAGCTGGAACGGAGCGAAGAATTGGATGTCGAGTTTCGTAAAGATGGCTTTCGTTCGCTGATGTTGGCGCCGGGGCGTAGTTGACCACGGGAAGTAGAGGCTCGGAGCTTTGGGTTCTGGATATCCCTAGCACCAGTTGCGTCTCCCGCAAGACTATCGCGGGATGGCCTTGAACGAAGCGATGACGTGGAGCTGGCAGCCGGAGCCGGAGTTGGAGATGGTGCTGGCTGGACTACAGAGACTGGGCGAGGAAGCCGAGAGAGGCGGGGGATGCCGCTGGCTCGTCTCTGGGAGTTATCCATCATACATCAGTCGCTGGCTGGAACCCGTTTCGAAAGCTAGATCTGAGATGTGGCCTGTTGAACTGGGGTGAGTTTCGGGTGTCAATGGATTCGATCGGGCACGGGCGAGATGCGTCCCACGAGGGGCAGGGCCGCCTGAAGCTGTGTTTGATAATGTGATATTCGCTTAAAAGCGGTGCGTGTCGAGTTGGAATGTAGCGAGTGTAATCGTCAACAAATGACGGAATCGTTGAGCAAAGCGAGGATTGTCGAAAAAGGAGCGACCAATGCAAAAAATCCACAAAGCGCGACTGAAGAAGAGAAAAAGATCCCCAGAGCCACCAGCACCGTTTGTAAGAGATGACCCGCGTCGTCAAATAGAATTGCGGCTCTCATCCTGGTCAGGGGAGTGACAAGGAGCTACCTATCACGTGGGGTTAATTTACACAGCACCAGAAACAGGCACTACTGAGGCTAGTCTGCGGGAGACGAACAGCGCTAAACGGGCTTGTGGCTGCCCGAGACGTGCGAAGCTGCGGGAGCTACGAGTATCGTGACAGGTACTGCAGGTACCGGCCTCATTTACAGGCGCTCCACTGCTGTTGTTGTTGAGGGCAAGGGTGATGGAGATGGCAACTTCCGAAATGCACGTCACCTTGATGCTAGGGTGAGTCGCAGAGGACAAGGTGTTTCACAAGTGCTGGATAGACTGAGGAAGGCGATGTACTGCTATAACGAAGGCAAGTGTCTGCAGGTAGTCTGCCATTTGCTTCAACTTTGAGCTATCTAATACAAATAACTTTATTCAGATTCTTGCTTCACCGACTCAATAGAGAAGTTAGTCCAACCAGTCGTTGTCGATTTCGTAATCTCTATCAGAGCCCACAGAATCGGACAGCTCATACGAGGCATCACCATCCTCTTCTGAGTCCTCGTCCTCATCCACAGAAGAGGCTTGATCCGCCGCGTCACTTCCCTCTGCCTCATCTTCATCTTGAGTCAAGTCAATGATCACCGGTTGCGATTGAGTCATCGTTTCTTTCGAGGTCTTTGAGAGAGGGCGCTGCTTTGCGGCTCGCCTAGACACTGTCGTGGGCTTAATAGCTGCCGTTAGAGACCCACGCCATTTCTGAGCCACTCGTGCCACAGCCTTCTGAGACTGTCCCTTCTTGTCCTTCCGAACAGCGCTGCCTAACTTCATCACCGCCGGATCGCTGGCCCATTCGACCAAGACCCTCGAGACTTCGTCCCGGGTAGCGTCTCTCGCGGCATCTCGGTCTTTTGACGCCTTGGTGATTTTATCGTAGTCCGTATGGCGATGGCGAATATGCGCTTGAACTGCTAGATATGCCTTCCTGTCCAAGTCTAGTTTTCCCGTACGACCAACCCTGCCGCTTCGTTTTCGGAGGGCATGTCTCAAGATCTTGTTCAGATCCTCTTCCGGGATCTTTGCAAATAGTCTCTTGATGGTCGTTGCAAACGCATCCTCAGTTGCTGCATCCCGCCTCTCCACAGCACCGCGCCTTCTCTCTCGAGTTGCTTTCTCCTCTGAGAAGACTTGATGTAAAATCCACTTTGGTGCTCGTAATCCCTCTTGCTTGCCTTGATTCACCACCACATACAACGTCTTTTTAGCGTCCAGAGTTTTTCGGCGACAGAGCCCTGTCATGAATGGATTGCCTTTTCTGAGAAATCCGTAGCCCTTTGGCATTGGCGCCTCCGGAGAGACTGTTTGCTGGCGAGCCATTATCGAATAGTAGCAGCGGCTGGTTCAGATAGAGAGGATTCCGTACGGAAGGCTACGCGTGAGGGCGCATGAGAGGCGAGAAAGGTTGCTTCATTTATATGAAAGGTATGGCTGTGTCCATGGCGAACAAGGACGCAGACATTGTTTAAGCGATTCCTTGATCGAGATTCTGTTCATCGGGCGGGATGAAACATCTTGTAACGCTCTGATCACTGAAGAAAAACGAGCAAAGAATAAAAAACAAACAAACCAACGGAGAGCTTGCATGGACGCTAGTAACCCGCGCCGTCGGTAGAGCAGTTTAGCGCCTCGTCATCACCTAGCATTTAGGCCTAGCGGGCCCAAGCAGCGGTTTTCACTCCATGTGTACAATTCACTAGCACAAGGCAGACAGGTATCGAAGCAAAGCCCACGAATACAACGAACGTTGGTTCTTTTATGTTATTAGGCGGGGGATATTTCCACACTCTCGCTAGCGAAGCTGCCACTAAACACGTCTGGCTCGGCTTGCAGCTGGGCTTGCTCTATCATCTCAGGTGTAACATCATCTTTCTGCTTGTTCCACACCATATCCCAGCGGCCCTTGAGAGCAACAGATGCCTTTCCCGCAATTTTTGAAGCTATAAAATCTTTGAGGACGATGTCCGCTGTTTGGCTTGCACCTGGCTGTAGCTGGATGAGTGACTCAGGACTGGGCGGCCATTGTCTTTGAATCTGGAGCTTTGGCAAGTCAAGAGGCTCTGAGGCGCCGTCAGGCGTGATGGTGAGCAGGCCAATGGATGGGGCAGCGGTATCCAACGGCGAATTGTATACGAGAAAAGTGACCGTATGATCATTATCATTGACGACGGTGCTGGTGATGGTGATAGGAGACGTGCTGGTCTGCTTAATCTCCACGCGCAGACCAGCAACAGGGCTAGAGCTGTTGTCGCGGCTCTCCATTGAGTATGAGGGCGAGAAAAAGAAGGTAGCTAGCACGAGAGTAAGACTGATTCCAAGAACAGCGCGCACACTTGCAATGCGATTAAGGCTCATTAGAAGGGTGGCAATAAAAGGATATTTCAAGTACGGCGACGTAGATATTTCCCTTGCTTGCTAAGAAAGAAGTTGAGTTGTTGTTTTTCCAGCTCTGCAGAAGTCCTGTATTCATTAGTGTCCTGCTCCTCTTTGGAGGCGAGTGGGATGAGACTGATGACGTCGACGTCGGCAGCAGGCTCCTTCATTCATTCCCTCATGTGAGTTCTACTATCCCTAGCAATATGCGCACTGGTGGCCACATCCGCATTATTCTCGTCAAGTCGCCTTAGATACCCGCGCCTCTCTATCTGGACAAAAAAGGGCATCCCAAGTTCAATAAAGCGCCAAGCCTGCAAAGGGATCGCATGCGTGCAAGAGGGGTCAACCGTCGTAAAAAGATACGAGCATATGAATGCTGAAGATGGATGTATCGAGACTATTCATGTTGGGATGCTCAAGTTTTCGGACCGTCGCCTCCGCATAGTAGCTCTTAATGCTTGATAGCCGCGGGCTGCTCGCCAGCTTCTCCTTTAGGCAGCCGGTGGCACCATGCGAGGCACTTTTGTATCTCAATATCGGAATTGTGCTTCTAGTAGAACTAGTAAAACACCCAGGCACATTTATTAATAACCTTACGTTATGCTTGTCTCCGAGCTTATTCACACTCCTTGGGCCGTGACCTTTGTTAATTCACATTGATGATATAAGGGGACTAGCAGGATTTCTATGGCATGAGACCAAGTAATCATTGAACAGCTACAACGCTGTAACAGCGGAAAAAGTTGGGATGTTTTTTTCTTGGCTCTTGTTTGAACCCCCGTTCCGTTATGCCAAAATACATGTCGCTGTCGAACCTGAAGGGCGCAGAGATTGGAGGCATGCTTAACACATCACAATACAGTAAGTACTCATCGCCAAGAATGTAACCCTCAGACTATGGAGGACATATTGTTTAGCAATAATTGTTTCTATATAATACTTACGAGCGAGTGGATATCGATAGGTTTGGCTTCCTGAAGAACGAGCTTCCTCGTTGGGAACGTCTTCCGTCTAAGACTGCACACCTGCACTCCACGGTTATCTACCGTAGAAGCCCATGGCTTCGGTAACTGTGAAGCAGACAAGATAGGAAGGTCACAAAAATAACCAATTAAAGTGGAAGCAAGCTTTAACATCCGGCGAGCTAAATTTGAGTACGCGCAGCCCGATCGAGCCGAGTTGGGAAGATCTGCTGCGCCTATTGGGATTTCTTCACCGAAGCGATAGTATTCGGTAATTCGATAGACTATAGAATTTTTGATGTGTGTATGTATGCCAAGACGTAATTTGCCTAAAGGATTTTCCGAAACAAGTACACCCTCGGATTTTACTCGGCAGAAGTCGTTGGTCCCTCAGGAAGCCATCACTTGGACATATCTCGCCTGGAGACGTGCTCCTTCCCAGGGAGAAGCATATACTATATCTCTATATATTAGCCATCTTCAAGCCGGTTTTCTATGTAGCATTTGATACTATTTGACCAAAATTCGTATAGAATTTGTGGCATTTCTGGAGTATGAATAAACCCGTATTGTCAACATCACGATTTTGTTAGAGATGCCAAGAGCCAAGACACTAATGTCTGCGTATGCCTCTATGCGAGCATAATAGTCCACTCATACCTCCGTTTCCTTGAATTGCAAAGTACCCGGAGATTTTAGACATTTTTGGAAGCTGTTTAGGCCGGCACAGATTCGTTTCTACGCTTATCGCTTGGCATTGAGGGGGAAAGCTGGGTCTGTTGCCGAAGTCTACGGGATAGTGAGTCCGCATCTCGGAACCGGGCCAATGAATGCACCAGCCATTAGATAGAGCTGAATTGGCTGAACACTTACAAAGCGTTTATAATTAGCCGCTGATTTCCGTTATCTGAGCCTTGATAGGACAGCGGACACAGCGTTGAAGTTGAGAGAATCGAAGAGAGATATCTTTGTAATTTGACATCATATACATAGGGTAGTTCTATTTTCATGTTCCGAGTAGATTTATCATGTCTATTTGCGTTGTTCGTTTTGCAATGGCTATGTAAGCTACCAGATAGAAGAAGATGCACTATCCCCCATATGTCTTGCCAGTATGTAAGAGAAAGTAATCTGAGTAGAAGATAGACCAGGCATGCCTCTCCACCGACCTTTTGGCTTTTATCAACGGATACTGGTCCCAATACGGCAGTTGAATCGGATTGGTGTGTAGAAGTGCTCTATTTCCGGTCGATATCCTTGATACATCACTGCATGAATGCAAGAGAAAACGGCAACTAGAGGATGTGTAAGTGAGTCGAAACGCCAATACCATACTCTTGATTTCAACAGGGGAATTGACTAGAGTCCCATTGATGGGGTATGGTTGTAATTGAGAAGAACTTTTGTTTACACTGCCAACCATCATGATACTTCCTAGAAGTTAACATGCTATCGTATTTCAAGTATAAATAAGGCTATACGCCGTCCATTATTAGGTATCATACCACCACAATCATCTCAACAAGCATCACATTCAGTCGATTCCTCCTCTTCAAGATGAAGTTTGTCGCTGGTCTCATTGCCCTCGCCGCTTTGGCCTTAGCTGCCCCTGGCAAGGCACCAACCCCCCTGGACATCAAGCTCGAAAGTGCTGGCAACGCTGAGATCAAAGCTGTCATTACCAACACGGGCAAGAACAGTCTCAAGATCTTCAAGTCTGGCACCATCTTGGACAACAGTGCCGTAGAGAAGGTCACAATCACCTCCGGAGGTACCCTTTACCAGATAATGCCACTTACACATTGAAAAGTGCATAATTGCTAACGTGGCTTATAGAGCACACTGTTGCCTTTGACGGTATCCGCCAACGCATCTCTACTGAGAACCTGGCTGAAGATGCCTTCCAGAGCATCCCCGCCGGACAATCCATCGAAGTGACCTTTGACATTGCCGAAGCTCACGATCTCTCGCTTGGCGGAAAGTACGACATCCAGTCTGCCGGTGCTTTCTCCTTTGCCCAAGAGGGATCCACCCAACTCGTCGGTTCCGTGCCCTTTGAGACCAACAAGATCGAGGTTGATATTGATGGCGAGGCCGCCTCTGCCCGCCGCGTTGCCTTCCACCAGAAGCGCACCCGCATACAAAGCGACTGCAGCGGTAGCAAGCTCAGTGCTATCCAGACCGCCGTCCGCAACTGTGCTTCTGTCGCCCAGCTCGCCCAGCAAGCCGCTTCTTCTGGCTCCGCAGCCAAGCTCACAGAGTACTTCAAGTCCTCCACCTCCAGCGTGAGAAGCACCGTCTCGGGCGTCTTCAGCCGCGTTGCCTCTGAGTGCGGCTCAACCAGCGGCGGCAGCTCTTCTCTCTACTGCTCCGATGTGCTTGGCGGATGCAGCTCGGGAGTATTGGCTTACACGCTTCCCAGCAGCAGTCTCATGGCCTACTGCAACCTCTACTTCAGTGCTCTGCCATCTCTGTCCCGAACATGCCATGCGCAAGATCAGGCCAACACGGTCATCCATGAGTCAACGCATCTGTCGCAGGTCAAGGGCACTCAGGACTACGGTGGCTATGGATACAGCTTCATCCAGTCTCTTTCGGCTTCTCAGAACCTCAATCACGCCGATACTTATGCTCTTTACGCCAACGCCATTTATGTTGGATGCTAAGTGTAGCATTGAAGGAGAATGAGAAACAGGAGGAATAAAAATGCTTTAAATTGTATCTCAAGATTGAATAGCATGATTTGTATGAATGATGACTTGTTTGGAATGAGATGAATGATCAATAGTGTATACGTGCATGTACATGTACTGAGCGATTCCGAGTATTACAGGTAGCAGCTAAAAGGACCCAGGCATGATTGTAAAATCGAATAAGTGCCTCTATAAACTGGCTATACTTTCCATGTAAACACTCGCTCACAGTAAAGGCAGTAAAGTTTGTCTACATGCTGTTCTCATCGCCGTCTTCAATCTCCAGTCTGGTGGATTGAATGTAACCTGTGGGCGAGATTTTCATGCTGTCTCGGAACCCAATCTTACACTTACCGTCCTGCCCGTCAGAAAAAGAGAGGCACGTAAAGTATTGCGCCTTTCATGATTATGAAAATACGTACACAATTTGAAATCAAAAAGTCTAAAAACAAAGCCTTCTTCGTTTTTGATAGGGAGGGCTTGCCCCCAAAGTGGCCTGATATCACGGCTACCAACGCGCACAAGCCTCACCCAATCCGGCGACCGCAGCCCAACTAGGAGGCCCCCAGAGGTGAAATCGTGAATATGGCCAAGGCCTCGCAGCCCGAGTGGCCAAAAAGTCTCCTGCAGTGGGACGGCAACACGGCTGTGAGATCTTGGCTCCGGCCCAATGGGCTGCGGTCTCAGCCAAATGCCGTCTGCCGCGATGGGTTCGCCAAAGCGGCAGACGCAGGCTGTGCTGGGCGACACCGCTGCAGGGGAAGTGGAAAAGGGCATTTTATAGAGCATCATTGGTCACCGCAGGCGATACATGTCTAGCGGCTACCCCGTAGTATTCTGGCTGGGGCTATTGTGCAGCCTGTACGGAGTAGAGTGAATGCAGTCACAGGTGGTGATAGTTCAGGGTCGATGTCATTTTGTCGCCCAAACCCCATCCAGGCATCAAAAGCCACTGGTGCCCAAGCGGCAGACACGATGTGAGATTTTTTTTTCCCATGGCCCCTTGCATATCCAGGATAGCAAGCGCGCAGCAACCTTGCAGGCCCTCTTGCTGTGGGACTGTTTACTTGCGATTCTAATCTATTCTCGATGGCCTCTTGTCTAAACTGGTACAAGTGTTGCTTCTTCGTTTATGCAGGGTGGATGTTGAACCTGAACCTAGTCCGCGTATGGGGTGCTAACGGCCTTGTTTTTTACAAGCCAGCCAGATGGGCGAGCTGCAGTACCGAGACTGGACCGGGTGTCTTCACGAAAACGTCACCAGGAGGGCCCCTCACCTGGACAGGCGAAATGATCCATCTTGGAGTTGGTGATTGCAGAGCCACATGAGGTGAGCGGGCAGGAATAGTAGCATCGGTAGTTGCAAGTAAGACATATAGTACAAGCGCTTGAAGACTCAATGACTCTTCATCCCCGTGCTCTCTCCTCTATTCTCTCCCCGTAGCTATTTTTGCTCGTATTGCTATTATTGAATGCAGCATAGCGGCACTAACACGACAAGTCTTTGTTGGGGGCGCCTTTGAGCTGAATCCATCATCGAGCTGAATCTCACCAGCCACAACCCATATAAAACCAACCACACCATCGCAGCAGCCCTCCCGCGCATCACGAGCGCCCTCGCCTCGGGCCTCTCCCTCCCAGCGAACCCTCGCGCCGTGACCTCACCTGTGGCTTATCACGGGGCCTCCCTGGCCGTGCCGCTCACCACTAGCTGTTGGTGTTGCCCACGGCTCGCCGCTACTGGCGCAACAAGTCCAGCAACCCCTGCGCAAAACTTGGAACAGACCAGAAGGCCAAGCGGGGCTCAGCACACAAACGTCATCGCTTGACCCGAAATCCACTTGCAGCGAAGAAAGGGCTGTTTCATATAGCCGGCTGGCCCTTCGTCTCGCCATCTTCTTTCAACTCTCCAGCGAGCTTGAAATAGCAGCTGTTTGAAAGCAAGTGCTTTGTGCTTTGTGCCTTGTGCCTTGCGTTTGTCTTCTTTGGAGGCACGGCGCCATTCTTCGGGGGTACAAAGAGGGGCATATTGCTCTTTGTCACACTGTTTGCATTATAAAGACCACTTTGTCCGAGGAACACTGGAAGAGTCACCAAAACTTCATCTAATACACACAATACCTTCTCATTGCCTCTCGACTCACCATGGCCAGTCGTGGAGACCGCTTCGAACGGGATCGCCTGGATCGGGACCGCTTTGTCGGCGAGAGAGATGAGATTCGTGAGAGGGATCGCTTTGAGGAGGATCGCTTTATGAGCGGCGGGCGGGGTGGCCGCGATCGCTCTGAGGAGCGCCTTGGCAGCAGATACGGCCGGTCATCATACGAAGATGATATTGTCCGTGATCGCCGGTACTACGAAGATGACATCCGCCTTGATCGCCGTTCCGATCCTCGCCGGGAGCCTCTCCGGGACCCCCTCCGAGATCCCCTCCGAGATCCCCTTCGAGATCCTCTTCGAGAGCCTCTTCGAGAGCCTCTTCGAGAGCCTTCTGAACAACGTCGTACCGTTTTTGTCGAAAAGGAGCGCGACCGCGAATACTACCGAGACTCTTCGCCTCGACGCCCAGGTCTGATGCGCCGCCAATCATCTCTCGATACATATGACCGTCGACCACTGCCCAGGTTTTTCGACCAGCGAGAGGAGCTTCCAGTGCCGGCCCGCCGCGAGGACATTCTGCGCGAAGACTACCGGGCCCCGGCATATACACCCATTCCTCTTCCCAAGGCCCGCGGCTTGCCGTCTCGACAATATGACCAACGCTTCTATGAAGATATTCACGTTGAGCACGACCGAATTGAAGAAGGCATCCCGGCCGCCCCGGTCATCCCCCCAGAGCGCATCGTCGAGCGAGAGATTATTCGCGAAAAGGAAAAGGAAAAGGAGAAGCGCAGCCGTAGCCGAGATTCCCGCTCTACTAAACGAAGCCACTCCTACAAGCGCAGCCACCGAGGCAGATCTCACGCATCCAAGTCGTCTACCCGCTCTTCCAGCAGCAGCAGCAGCAGCAGCAGCAGCAGCGGTGGCACCACAGTCAAGAGCACCAAGAGCGAGTACCCGAAGAAGGGCAAGACCAGAATTCCTGCTAGATTAGTGTCTAAGCGGGCCCTGATTGATATCGGCTACCCTTTTATTGAAGAGGTACGTCTTTATACCGGTTGGCAGACCATTTCCAAGGAACAAGGCTAACAAAGTGTGTAATAGGGTAATGTCATTGTTGTGCAAAAGGCTCTAGGACAAGCCAATATTGACCACCTGCTTAAGCTTAGTGAAGAGTACAAGTCAAGTGAGTCCATTGCTCTTAATAATTCGGCGTAAGCTGGCTCAGTACTAACTCGGAATCTCAAGGTGAACTTGAAGTTGCTGCCGCTCGATCCTCAGCCGGCGAGATCATCAGGGAGCGCAGAGAGGAGCTCATTATCGAAGCACCAGCACCCCCGCCTCCACCTCCACAGGCGATTTATGCGCCTCCGCCTCCACAGTCGGTTTATGCTCCGCCTCCAGGTCCTCCACCAAATCATGCTCCAGCTCCAATTCTAGTCCCTGTGCACTCTGGGCACCCAGCACCCGTCATCATCGAAGCTGCGCCTCGTGGAGGACTTGAATTGATCGACAAGACTGTCTACCGCGATGACAAAAGCGTGTATTATGACGACAAGTCAGTATACCGAGATGACAAAACCATCGTTTACAGAGACTACTCGCCAGCATCGCGCGGCCGGAAAAGCAGGAGCCGCTCTCACTCTCACCATCACCACCATCTCAGCGACGACTACCAGCTAGTGGAGCGCCATCGTTCACGAACACGATCGCGCAGCCGAAAGGACATTCGCTCCGAAATCAAAGCCCTCGAAAAGGAGCTCGCCTTCCGCGGCAAACGAGAACTTGACCGCGAAGTCGTCCGAACTGAGAGACTCCCCAACGGAGACTTTGTGACGTACGAGGAATCGATCGAGAAGATCTCAACCCACAAGCCGGCGCGTATCGAGAAGGACAAGAAAGGTAGGATGTCCATCAGCGTGCCAAAATACCGATGAAAGGTGCGCCGCGTTACTGCCGTCGCATGAATTTTTCTGTTATTTTATTCCTATCGAGCGAAGTGGCTGACATCGGACTATGTTATACAGGACCACCGCCTGGATATGTCCGTGCCATGTTGGCCACTCTGACTTGAGCGTTTGCGCGGACGATTCACGAGTTTGAGCGTATAGACAACGAAGTCACGAATTTAATGAATGGATTAATGAAAGGATATTTTTTTTTCTTTTGTCCTTTTTTTGGATATGTTGCGTAGAACGATTCATCTTTTTTTGGGCTTGTGAGAATGATTGTCTTGGCTTTGGCTGGTCACTGAGCTACCTTATTCTATTTGTATGCTATGGATTGGATTGGATTGGATATCTGGTATAAGGGTACATATACACATATCGGACGTATCAAAGAATTTGACGAATTGACGGAATATCATGACTATCATCTTTGTACAAACTTGAGCTCCATACATACCCTGGTCATATTATAACAATGAGCTCGAGATCTCCTAGAAAGTGAGCGCGTCCAAACACATGTAGTTTCTATCAAATGTCCTTGCTCTCGGCTTTTGTTGCTTTCGATGATGCAAAAGAGGTGTCAGGTTGTTAATCCTTCACTTGCTACAAATTGTCCACCAAGTGCTACTGATTGTGCGGATTCAGAAGCGCTCAAGCGTATTAACGCGCGTTCCTCTAGCGGGTACGGTAGACGAACCCCGCTGTGATGAGCAGTCACGAATTTGACGCTTCTTAAAGAGAGAAGAAGGGACTTGAGTATTTGTTTCTCGTCGTGCAAGTATATATATGTAAGCCTTTCCTAGGCTGACAAGTGCAACAAGAATTGCCCTGCTTGACTATTGTATCGTTACGGCTGGAGGGTAGCGCTGTCGCAACCTCATCATGATCATCTCCAAGACTGTAGTTGCTTCGGGCATTTTGCTCGCAGGAAATGCAGTCGCGTATCTAAGACTCCCGCCGTTTTTACCAAAACAACATGAATCAGCCCGGATCTCGGACGGACTCCAGTTCCAGAGCTTCGACTTTGGTGATCAACGTCCATTGGCCGGCCCCAAGACGGCAACAGCATCCTCATCGGCAGATATTCCCTCCTTTAGAGCGGGCCAGTATACTTTGACGCCGCAAGACGATTCCACGTGTGCTACGTATGGCGAATCGCAATGGACGGGCACAATCGACGTGACGGATTCGCATCGCCTTTTCTTCTGGTTCTTCGACAGCCGAAACGACCCTGTTAACGATCCCGTCATCATCTGGATGAATGGAGGACCTGGGGCCACTTCGATGTTCGGACTCTTCAACGAAATGGGGGCTTGCTGGCTGGAGCCTGGCGCAAACACAACCGTGCCCAACGACTTTGCCTGGAACAATAATGCCTCGGTGCTGTTCCTGGACCAGCCCGCTGGCGTTGGCTTCTCCTCTCGCGCAGAGGGATCGCCCATCCCGTCATTTGATCTCGCCGGTGCATCCGATTTCCAAGCCTTTCTCAACATCTTCTTCAAAGACGTCTTCCCAGACCGAGCCCGTCTGCCCATCCATATCGCGGCAGAATCGTACGGTGGACACTATGGGCCAGTCTACCTCAATCATATACTAGAGTCACGGAGGTTCAACTCCCGAGATGCATTCCCGGGCAACATCACCTCTCTTATTCTGGTAAATGCTGTGATTGACTATACCGCCCCCGCTGTGGGCACATACGAATTCTTGTGTAAGGGATTCGGGAAACACGACAAGATCATGAACGATACCGTCTGTGAGGTGCTCGCACTCAACGTGCCTAAGCTCTTTGAGCTCGGACGAAACTGCGATGCGAGTAATGATGGACATGAATGCCGGGGCATGATGACATACGTAGAAGAAATGGTCCATCCCTATTATTACGAACAAGTCATGGCAGGGAAAAGAAACCCGTTCAATGGTAAGTTGAACCCTTTTGCCCTGCTAATACGTTCCGATATTAACGACATTTGACACAGTCCACATTCCCTGCCCTGATTGGCCTTTGTGCTCGGACATTACAAAAGGCAACATGACAGCCTACCTCAACCAGGACCACATCAAAAAGGCTCTAAAGCTGCCGTCCTCCTTTGTATTTGTAGCCGACGACATCGACGTTGACATGGCTTACATCTACTCCAAAGACCCCTTCAGGCCCACGACCCGTGAAGTTGCACGTATTCTCGACGCCTACCGCACTCCCAACCTGGGCGACATCCGCGTGCTTGTACTACAAGGCAACGAGGACTACAGACTCAACACGCCGGGCAATATGTGGGCGTACGACAACCTGCGATGGAGCGGGCTGGCGGACTATCGGCTGGCTCCGTGGCGGGAACTGCCAGAAGGCATGGCCGCCACGGGATTCTGGAAGAGTTCCGGTCGATTGGCGTTTGTGGCGGTTGACGGGGCTGGACATACCGTTCCGGGAGATGTGCGAGAGGGCAGTTATAGAATTGCGCAGGAGTGGCTTGAGGGAGGATGGAGAGCTTGAAAGGATCTGGCGTGTTTAACAAGTTTACACGTGAGCCCGAGGCACAGGTTGAATTATACTAAAAGTAGTATTTCTCAAGTAAGAATGGCTAAAAGAGGTATACGTTGCGTGACAACAATAACAAGAAAAGCCAATGAGAAGACGAGCATCAGACAGCTTTGGAAAAAGAGCACATTTGTGTGGTCCCCCCCCCCCCCGCTAGATCAACTTGAGACGTGGGGAAGCAAATCCGATCCAGCGTGGAGATGTGGCTGAACTAAAGAAAGGATTTTTTGTTCCCTAGACCTCTTTTTAACAAATGTTTTTTGTTTTGCCCCTCACGCGCGAGCCGAGGCAGATGGACCAGGCTATATACTATATATCTAGCCAGTGGTGAAAATGTGAGGCTTTCACAAGTTCGTAGAAGCGTTTCTTTGTCACTCTCCGCCACTTGTTCTGGTTTGCATCTTTCGAGCTTGTGGTATCTTTTTTGTAAAAGTATCAATTGCATTTTTTAGAATTGAGATTTCAGAATATACGGCTCTGAAAGTATACAGCAATTGAAATACCTTCAATGTCATACGCCATGGCTGTCATGGATGCAGTGGCAGCTTCTTGGGGTCACATAATCGCAACCTACGACCCCTACACCGTCGATTTCGTCGGCACCTTCATCGTCCAAGTCATCTTCTGGTGGATTCCCTGCGTCCTCTTCATCCTCCTCGACTCCATCGCACCATCCTTCTCCGAGAAACACAAGATCCAGCCCGCGCCCAAACAACCCACGTCAAGCGAAATCTTCCACTCCATGCTCGTCTGCATCCGCAACCAAGCCATCGTCTTCGCCCTCCACGGCGCCTTACTCTACGCAATTTTCGCAAAGGGCCTGCCCCCCAGCATCAGAGTCGACGCAAAACTTCCCTCTCTAGAAGAATTCGTACGGGATCTCTTCCTCAGCGTGCTAGCTCGCGAGGCACTCTTTTACAGCTCCCACAGGATCCTCCATCTGCGCCCGCTGTATAAGCGGTTTCACAAGCAGCACCACAAGTTCACGGCCCCCGTGGCGTTTTCATCGCAGTACGCCCATCCGGTGGAGCACATCGCGGCCAACGTGCTGCCTATTTTGCTGCCGCCGCTGCTGCTCAAGTCGCATATCCTCACCATGTGGGTGTTTGTGGCCTTTCAGCTCATTGAGACGTCGACGGTGCATAGCGGGTATGATTTCTTTGGGGGAGCGGCTAGGAAGCATGACCGGCATCATGAGCGGTTTGACGTATACTTTGGGGGTATTGGGCTTCTGGATTATGTTTTGGGGACTGATGAACGAGAAGATAGGAGGAGAGCTAAGAAAGATTAAGAGCGAGGGGTTGACCTTTTAGATATTATTGCCCGTGTTTGAAGTCCAACGATTCAGTCAACGTTGTAATCTTGCGATGGTGTGACCCAAAGCACTCCTTTATGAATCATTTATTTGCCTAAATCTTCGTAATCTCTCCTGTAAGTCATTTCCGCCTGTGTCTCATCCCATCCATGATCTCGTTATGCCCAAATCTATCGGCCGGCCAATATGCAAGGGTATCCATCCAAAAAGAAAATTTTCCGCCCAGACAAGCAAAGAGAGGAGATATAAACAAAAGCAGATGTTTTCTTCCTAGCATTCGTAGCTCATATTTTCCAAACTTGTTTCAAATGCCATCCATACCGAGGGAGGAACATGCGCCACTGCCGTGTAAGATTGTACGGTCAAATTACCGCTTAATTGATATAAAAATAATAATAAGAGTGTTGAAAAAAAAAAAAAAAGATCGAACCGATGCCATCCACCAACTTCCATCCACACGATGCTGGTGAGAGAACCACATTGGTACAGCATCTGCAGTATGTAAATCTCAAACAATATATGATGATATCCCAGACAATGAAGAAAATGATGTGGAAAACCGCAAAATATTGGAAAGGGCGGGGCAAAAATTAATCCAAGAGGGAAAAAAAAAAGGGGAGAAAAGGTAACGGAAAAATGGAAATAATAAGGATAATCTGGTAAACCAGGTCTTCAGAGCAAATCGCTGGAACTTGATGCGCCAAAGCGATACGTGAGCACTCTGTTATCTGTTTCTGAAATGCCAATGTCTTCCATATCCATGGCGACATCTGCAAAGAATTGGGAAGGACTGCCAGGCAAGGGGGCGCACTGATCGAACAAGAAGTTTTTCGAGTCATAAGAGTCGTATTCAGGGCCCTGGATATCCGGTGTCGACTCAAGATAACCAATATCTGTTTGAGACTGAAGGTTCGAGAGATAATGAGGCACGGAGTGTTGAGAGTAGTTATGCTGAGGCTCGAAAAAAGTATCGTCTGCCCGAGGTTGGATGGGGCCCTGTTGCTGCTGTATTGCAAAGGGCGTAAAAATCGCGGAATAGCTTGTTCTATCAGAGCCAGTCTCAATGTGTGGCGGTATTGATGGACGAGAAGTGTCTTGTTGCCCTATCTGGACTCTGCGCAAGACTGATGCCGACGTGTCCCCATTTAGGAATATCGGGGTGGTATCGAGAATGTGGGAATTGCGACGCTGCGCAGAATTTATTTGCTTTAGGAAATCGCCCAGCAGTTCTTGACCTCGTGTTGGAAATCGCTGTTCAAACACCTTTGGTAGCCATGTACAGAATGCCATTCGGTACAAGTCTTCCGGCTCTGGAAAGGCTTGCCTGATTTGGAAGTGCAGCTGGTGATAAACGGGAGCCAGGCATTCGGGGCCATGCTTTTCTTTGAATTTGTAAATAGTCCTCAACTGCTTGATCGTCCAGTCCTTGATGCAAGGGTCTGAGATGCGGCTCGTGTGGGGAAATAGGATTTGATAGATGCGGTCCCATTGCTGTATATGTGATTTTGATCGGTCGCTACGCTGTTTGATCTGAAGACATGTACCCGAATCGTAATGGAGAGCGTTATACGATCGGCTTCGTCGATGAAGTGCCTCTGCTCTTTTCTTTTGACATTGATGAGGACAGTTCATGGCATCGTGGTGGACGTTTCTCAGATGCTGTTTCAGGTACGGGATTGTGTTGATCTTCTGAAAGCAGTTGTGATGCACAAGATCTGGGTACCTCATTGCATATGGACAGATGAATGAGGACTTATCGTGCAGTACAGGGAAGTGTCCTTGCATTATATCGGCATTTGCATCATAGTCCTGAGGCGTCTGCGGATTTCCTTCTGCGGCGCCGAGCATACCACGCCCATAGCCACTGATGTCCCGCCCCATGTTTGGTCGTTGGTATAGTGCGTCGAGATTTGCCACCATTTGCTCTAGACCAAGCCTCACATCGAGATATGAGCCTTCGGCCTGACCAAAGGGAGCCTGGTGCTCTTGGGGGCGCTCTTGGGGGCTTGGGGCCTGGCTTGCGATATAGTTGCCATCGCCATCTTGAGGAGGGTACAATCCATTATCCAAGTAGTCATGCGTGTTGTGTTGATCGCTTTCGGTGAGCTGTCCTGAAATTGTGGAGGTTTGCTGGGAAAACTCGCTGGTATCATCGATCCATGATTCTGCAACAAGCTGTATGTCGCTAGACTCTTGGGTACCCATGCTCGAGACATTGTTGTTAGGCGGTATCATGCGTTGTTGCCGATTAACGAGCGGCTGGCCTCGGATTGTCAAGACCGTTCCATCCCAGTCAAAAGAATTGATCAGCCTATCGTCCCTCCTCTGAAACATGTCGGTCCATGTTTGGTGAAACTGCGTAACATCGCTGAGGATTTGCGCGGGAGCCGTGCGTCTTGGTGGGGAGAGCACCTGCATGGGACTGGCGATATGCGAGGATGCCAACGGCGACGGGTCTCTCGATAAGGAATAAAGCTGAGCCATAGGAGAGGCAATCGTCTGGGACATCACGTCTCGATCTCGGGCCATCGACTGGGCGTCGTGTGTCCGAATGACCAGCGATTGGCCTTGGCCATTGTGGGCAGGCCGGGGGGGATACAGCGACTGATCGGGCTGGTCTCGCTGCGTATTCGCCTCTCCCTGGCGCTGGAGCCGCTGCCCCGCCCTCTGCGGGATGTAGCCGGGCGTATCGATTGGCGAACGAAGGGCAAGGCTGAGGGTGTTTGAAGAGTAAATCGAGGGTGACGCCTCTCGGTGTCTTCGTCTTGACATTATGGCCCGCTATTCGCGTATAGCGGGTGCCCAGCGCTATTGCCAGTGAAGCTACAGGCGATCTAGCTTCCGATTAGCAGCTGGAGAGCTGGAGAAGTGAATCTAAAGGCCCGGGCCGCTACCTAGGTGCGGGGAAATTTCTGTCTTGCCAGTCGAAAGGCTTCTCCACCGCCCACCAGCAAAGAGGCAAAAGAGAGTTTGTGACGGTCTCACGGCGGGCAATTAAGCTTATCCGATCACTGGATTGCCTCTGCTTCGCCTCTTGGAGCTGGAGATTGAGTCGAGATCAAAGGGCACGAGGTTGGGTGGCGAGTGAACGAAACGGACGTAGCCGATGAGTCTCGTTTTATGCGCGGCTTTGCTCCGGCATGGAACCCAAAAAGATACAAAGGTACCTGGAATTGATGTCCAATGAGAGAATGGCGGCCTGGTTTGGGCTATCGCCAACCGGTACTAAGGAAAAGGTACGAAGCAAGGAGTCAAGCACTTTAAAATCTATCTACGACTTGTGGCATGGCAAAAGTTATGTGGTCTTGTTTCTATTTTCCTAGAACGAGGACCCTTGGCCGTTTTTGTATTGCCTCATCCTCAACGCCGGGACGTTTAGTTGAGGCTTCCTCCGGCTCTTGGGTCGAATTACACCCCGTTGTGAATTCGTCGTCATCAAGCGGAGCCGCTAGGTTGGTGTGCTGGTGTGTCGAATCTTGGGAAAAGTGCTACAGCATGTATACACGGCTTGCTTGGTATGTCCTGTTGTTTATTGACCGTGCAATTTGCCTATATATCAACTGTAGCTGGATTTTCTGGCATTGCTCGGGCTTCTGCACCGGCAAAACACTGTAGCAATCTAGATTGGTCGAAGCTGCGAGCTGCGCCATCGAACTCATCTATCCAGTCGGCAGAGAGGCTGTGCGGGTGGCCCCACCCCAAACAATTTGCACTGCCAGCAAGGATTGCAGAAAGCACATGCACGGCTCTTGGTAATGACTATGGTTGGGCATATTTGCTGAGCTGGCATCAGCTATGAAGGGACTCGATATTGGCCACTGCGGCAGCGGCCCGTCATCTCGATCTTGTTTCCCCAAAAGTGGTGGAGGCTAAAGCGAAAGAAACCACCATTGGCAGCACGACACGGAGACCGACGAGATCCATATGCCCGGGGTATGTGCTCGTGTGATGCCGACAATGGTGACTGATAAACCAGCTGCCTATTGCCGCTATCTGGCGGTGTTCTATCAAGCCGATTCTAGCCAGGCCGGTACGTGTATCTTGCGTTCATCTAAGGTAGACAGCTACCAATAGGTATTAGTAGGATGGAGCGGCATCCAGTAGGATATTCTTGGCACATGTACAAGGGCTACTAGCATGCAGCTGTATATACGATATACGAACATGTGTCTCTAGCAGGAACAGGCATCTCACCGTAAAGCACGAATTTCTCCGAGTTACTCGTATTGTTCTTCTCTTCTCCGAGCTTGAGCCGTCACGAGTCGAAGGATCACCAACATAGGCACGGCCCCACCACGTCCGAACTGCCGGAAATTCGGGGGGCACATTTGCACGCTCTTACCATTTCCGAATCAAACCCGCCACCTACGGGAGCGCACCCAAATGTCCTCAGGAAGTATGCGTAAATCCAATAGCATAGCCTTCTGCAGCCTAAAGAGCCACGCATCTCTTTTGGGGGAAATAGCCAGCGTTACATACAGACATGGAGCATCACGTAACGCTGGATCCCAATAAAGTCTACCTCCTGGTCTAGGGCGTCGTAAAGAGTCTATTCTTCAATACGGGCTATCAATAGTACCCAATTATATACCAGAGCTACACCAGTCACCTGGATGTTTTCCTAAGTTGTTAGGCTGCCATCCACAAGGATCTTGCTGCAATCCTCAAAGAGTCACCGATGAAGCGTGGTGGATACTTGTACATGCTACGTGCGTACCCAGAAGCCTCGCTGTCCATATTACATCATTCGCGGAAATTGCTTTCTTCCACGCGTTTGAAAGTAAAAGTTGAATTGATTGCCTAATTATAAGTAAAATCCTTGCCTGATTGGTGCAATAAGCACTTGGAGCAAAGACCCAAGCCACTTCCTCCCTATGTATGCAACTCTGTCAAGTTGGACGATGGTGTTGTAATTTGCGGTAATCATATATACGGAAGCAATAGTAGGCAGAGAGATAGTGAGAGTGGCGAAGCACTCCGTGAGCATCTAATTGAGACGAACCTATGCCTCTGATGTCACATGAAAGCGAATCTAGCAAGTCTCCGTACCTCTTCCACGGGTGGAAAACCGCTTCGGGGCGGTAAGAGCTTCGAGGCGGCCAGTCACATGTATCCGCTGATCTCTATTACATGCAGCTACTACTAGGTAGTTGCTGAATGCCCCATTGGCTAGACTCTGGTGTTACGTAGCATCTAAGAGTAAGTGCGCAGTTATAAAAGAAGGGGAAAGGTGGGTTGACGCCCTCGCTGGCCAGCAGATTGAGGCTCTGCGGCTTATCCTGTTGATTATCTCATCGTGCATGTGTCGGGCTACAGGATGTCACAATCACACTGCAATCTCTGTAGCTTGAGCCTCTTCCCTATAACGGATATTCTTCTATACATTTGATTTCCTACGACTAGGTCTATATAATCACTATGCTGGAGATTGTAGCATTGCTGTCCTTGAATCGATCCAAAGCTAGTCGACTTCATCTACCCATTGCGCCGGAGCTACAAAGGCCCCATCCGGGCCCATGGTTCCAGCGACATACCTAAACGCCAAGGTCAGTAATAGTTTGATGTCATAGAGATTGGCAAACTTGAATACTTGGTGTGGCTTCCTCTTGCGGCGAGCTGGCCTTTGCTATTGTAGAACTGTACCGATGTATACGCGAGCGTCTTGCCAACTGTCATCCCAAGGTCAATAATTATCAGGTACCAATTGACGGCAATTACGTACTCTTATCACAAGTAGCAGTTCCCTTGAGAAGATCGCCAGGCCGGCCACCAGGGCTTAGATACGTAACTGAAGAGATGACGCATGTCAGTACGTTGACAATGATTCGCTGGAAACAAGGGGAGTCATTGTTGCCTGTTTACCATTCAAGTCAGTTGACACACCGGTCGCGAATCGTCCAGTAGATGCGACTGCCAGAGATCCTCCGAGGTCAACGAGGCTGGCTATGGTCCCGCCATGTATGGTTTGGAGCCGATTCTAGGCGAGAGCGTTAGATAATTTCAAGAGGATATTGAAGCCCGCCATTCATCTCTTCGGGTCAATTCACCGTATGATCTTTGTGAATGTCGACTTCGAAGTCGACTTTACCCTCTGAAGCATTTGTTATGCGAAACTAAGTATTTCTGTGAGCTCCAAACCAAAACTATCCGTCCAGGTTTCTGCACATACTCGGCTGTGAAGCAGTCTGGCGCCTTGTCAGTATGCGGCTAAGATCCATGGCTGGAGTTTGCTCTTACCTGGGCTCGAGACCTGATTCGGCCATAAATGACCGCATGACAGCCTTTGTAAAATTGAAAGGAGAGAGCTTTTTCGCCATGATGTTACTCAGACTGGTTCAATTGATTGGATATATGTATCTTGATATGTTTGTTTCGAGTGTAGTAGATGTGTCCGGGATTCGGCTACCATTGAAGGCGGCGGCGGCTTGTGTAGCCGAGATCCCTCCACTGAGACGTAATAGCTAGTGATGTTTAGCGCTACCGTTAGCGGGCTGAGCTCTATCGCCAGTTATCTTTGGCGGCCGATTATCCGATGATGCGCCGAAGCATCTTCATCATAGATAAGCAGGTTTATAGGCAACCTAAAACTTCACGCTCGGTAACCTTCAAATCTCCAAACGTCCAGGCCAACGCTGCAGGCTGGGCTTTCGCATATGATGCGATAGTCAGCACGACATCCATTCTCTCCCTGGCGGATAGCAGCCTCGTCATCCACAAGCCGCCAAGATGTCCAACAACCCTTCCCTTCATCTCGCAGAATATCTGGAGAGGCTGCCTGGTACAACCTTTAAGAAGCTGTACCAGCAGCCCTCCACGGCCTTTGCAATCTTCAGGCGCATGCTGCCGCATCTGGCCAAGACATTTGTCATGAGAATGCTCTTCATGCCACATCCCATGACTCTGAACGATCTAGATGTCTGGGTGAAGCCAGAAGCCAAGCGGTTAGATCACGCTTCCTGCGATTGTCACAATTGCCCGTCTAACATTGGAGTAGGAACAAGGATCAATCGCTCTCCATCTTGAGAGGACTTCATATTGTTCAAATCTCCGCTCCGTCCAAGGAGAAGCCGCAGGAGATCCAGCTCATGTCCAACTTTAAACGATCTCTCCGACTCGCTCTCACCGGTGGCGGGAATCACAACTCTTTCGGCGTGCCTTCTTCCCTCCTCATCCCACCCGAAATCGACCTGCAGTTCCTCGATCGATACGCGCGCAAGAAGTGGGAAGATGTTTTGCACTTTGTCGTCTCTAGCGTTGGCTATAAGAGCGTCGGCGATGGATCTGGGCCGAACAAGGGCGTCAAAGAGCTCCTCATCGCGGGGCGACTTGTCGACAGACGACCAAGCGGAGGCTTGGGCATCACACAGGCGGGCTTTACCTTCTTGCTGCAAGAGGCCAATGCGCAGGTCTGGACGCTGCTTTTGCTGTGGCTGGATGTTCTGGGCAATAACAAGGGCTCGGGACTGGATCCGGTCGACATGCTCTCATTCCTCTTCATGCTTGCTAGTCTAGAGCTGGGGCGAGCGTACGACACAAATGCGCTGACCGAAGAGCGAAGGAATATGCTTCCTTCGCTCGTCGACTTCGGCCTCATCTACATCCCCCAGCACAAGCGCTCCATGTTCTTCCCTACAAGACTGGCTACAACCCTTACGAGCGGAGGCAACAGTCTGCGAACAATCAGCGAGGGCGTCACAGCTGCGACCCAGTCAGCCCAGGCATCGCAGCAATCCCTTGGACCTCTCAGCGGTGGCGGAGAGCAGCAATCAGGCAGCGTCGTCATCGAGACAAACTACCGCCTCTACGCCTACACCCAGTCTGCCCTCCAAATCGCCGTCCTCGCCCTCTTTGCCAAGCTCAACATGCGCTTCCCGGACATGGTCGCCGGGCGCCTCTCCCGCGCCTCCATCCGTCAGGCCATTAACTTTGGCATCACGGCCGACCAGATCATATCCTACCTCGCCGCCCACGCCCACGAGCAAATGCACCGCACCGCCGCCCTCACCAATAAGCCCGTCTTGCCGCCCACCGTCGTCGACCAGATCCGGCTGTGGCAGCTAGAGAATGAGCGGATGAAGACGACGAGCGGCTTTTTGTTCAGAGACTTCACCGACGATAAAGACTATCTCGACACGGCGCGCTTCTCAGAGGAAATCGGTGTGCTGGTTTGGAGAAATGACCATGCGCGCATGTTCTTTGCAAACAAGCATGAGCAGATCAAAGACTTTTTGAAAACAAGGAAGAGGGCGGAATAAAACTTCTTACACCTACTCTTCCCTACACAATATCTTGACTGTTTCTCATCTATTACCCGGCGAATTGCATTATTATGATTGGAATTTAAATTGGCGTCTGGCGCTGGGAATGGACACTGGGACAGGAAGCATTGATCGGCTAAACCTCAAAATGGATACTGCATATATAATATCAATACAAAAGAATATGAGTAGTAATTCATATCAGTAACTCATTGCCATAATCTATCTCGAAACTTGTATGTATCTACATTAATTCTACACTATTCTTGAAGGCTTTTTTATTTTTCCTTTTTGCATTCCTTTAACAAGAAGCTCAAGCGCATGTACTTCTCCAATTCGAGCAACAGCCAATACAATCCCGACAGAGGACGTTTCTTCGATGTATCCATCACAGTATCCATCACAAATTCCATTTCCAGTTCAATTCCAATTCAAACACTTGCCCCTAAGTCGATCCATTACATCTCGGCTTTCCTGTGCCGAGTACAAAAAGGGGAATCAAGAAGACATTGCCAAAGACCTATCGGTGCCAAACGCCACTTTGCACTCCTTCTAATATAATTAATTGACACAATTATGAATCCAGTTTCGTTATGACATTGTGAGCCGCTTTTCTCGAGACGCCCTAGAAATGCTTCCGGAAAGAAAGCTCTTGGTCTTGTTATCGTGATTATAAGAGCCGTAGCGCAGTTTTCCTAAGCTGTGCCTTTCACCTTTTTTGGCACCCGAGCTGCGGAAAATCTTAGCCATCAGACTCTTTTCTTCCATAGTGCCGCCCTCAGGGAGCAGCGAGGGGCGACCATGTCGACGAGCATAAGCTTGCTGCCAGACATGTAAAGAGCGTCTCGCTTCATCTGTGGTGCAAAGACTATCGAGGTGGTCAAATACACGGCGACATCGTGCGTCCTCTTCGTTCTCGGGCGGGACATTGGACGATGTCATAAAGCTTCTCAAAGCGGAAGTGGTAGTTGAATTAGGGAGATGAGATGCTCGCTGATGTAGGCTGCTGTATGGTGTTTTTGGTCTCACGGAAAAGGAGTTGGTCAATGATAGGCGAGATTCAATTGCATCTTTAGCAAGATCTTCTGACGAATATTTATCGTGGAGAGCCATAAATCGGCCAGACCAATAGGCAGAAGATTGCGCAATGCTTATACGCATGATAGGAGACTCGGGAGAATATGACTGGGCCGAGTTGGCCAGCGACGCTGTGGACGGTTGCACAAGATTCAATTTTGAAGGGTTGCAGAGTGTCGCATCGGTTCTAGTAGAAGATGGAGAAGATTTGGAAGAGGAACCGGTGAACGCTGAGGTGTTGATAGAGCGAACAGCCAGCGAAGGCCGGGAGATGGACGCCTTCAAGTCATGAAGGGCACTCATAGTTCGAGATTTGGGCAGTTTGCTCGCCAGTCGCTGCTTTGGTGGATCTGGATGGAGAAAGCCATCTGGTGCAGGAGGAATATTCTCGTCCTGTACCAGTGTAGCTGCTGGCACTGTTCTAACAGATGGCTTCGGTATAGATGAGGTTAATAGCAAACTTTTGCGCGACTTCGTTGGTGGCTTTGGATTGGAACAGATGTTGATTGTTGGCGTGGTCGCGATATCAGATTTTGCAACGCTCGGACTGTCTTCTAATTGGCCATTGCTGTGGAATCCAGCTGATATGTGCCTTGGTGTTTGAATAGGAAACGGAAGACGGCATTCGCGAATGGAGCTTGAGCTGTCGGTTTCACAGTCCTTGATGGCATCGACAATAATAAGCCTCTCGCTTCGGATAAGATCGGCACCTCTGGAGTTTTTGACCGGGCCTATGGGTGCAGAGATGAGGGGCCGTCTATTCTTTTCACGTCCTCGCATATTGTTTCGGCTGCAACAATAGCTATTGAGGAGCAGAGTTCTAATGGTGTTCAAGTGGATGTTATTAAACAAAGAAATGAAATCTAGGTCCAAAGCTAGAGGATCGTTGGCATTTAGCGGAAGTCAAAGAAGAAGAAAAGGAAGAGATAAGAAATACCAACAAGCTGGTTGTCTTTTTCTTCTTCGATCTTCTTAAAAATGTAGCTCTGCCTACCACAAGAGCTTGCTATTTAAAGCAGCGAGCAGTCGAGCCGGGCAGCCAATCCTAGTCGAGAGTGATATGCTGCAAGGACAAGGCACAGAGAAGAAGTCTGCGGAAAATGGAGACTGAATAGCCAAATGAAAATAATCTGGAGAGAAACGCCGGGCTTGATGATATCGAGGTGCCAAAGAATTAGGGGAGTTGTGGCATCGCGTTATATGCGTGACTTGCAGCAACTTATGCTTGTTGAGCGATGCAGCTGAAAAGCAAGAGGCGGTTCCTCAACGACAGGCTTGTTCTGAGAGAAACGCCGTCCAGGACGCGTCTTTGTCTTCAGCGAGTCGTTTTTGCAGACCGACTGACGCGTGACTGAGGCAGATGCGAGAAAAGCACTTTGGCAGAAACTGGCATCTGGCAGGTGCCCGGCAACCTTCCATCTGCAGAGGCACCGGTCTTGCAGTTGTTCCGCTAAAGCCATATTTTCTAGCAGCAAATTATTCAAAGATTAATCTTTCTATTTCTTTGACATAGCTCTCTTTCAGTCTCATGCCTCCCGTGCATCTTTACTGCTCTATTGTCTGCCTCCAGCTTCCTGCGTCTATTGTTGTCGTTTGCGCCGCGATGCTTCCATCTTGGATCGTCCGGTACATCGCCCGTCTTGCATTAATCCTCCTCTCGCCTCGAATGCCATTATATAAAGATCAGTCCGTCCACAGCTAATCGTCCCAGCCTTCAATTTTGAACCGGAAAACAACGTCTCCTTCCCCTCGGGGTATCTCGTTTCCATTGGCATCCCAAAGAGCCCGCTCCACGTACGTCGTGTTGCCCTCGTTATCCACCAGCATCACAGTCTGTCGTTGCGTTCCATACATGCCCTCTTCAAAGCCCATTGGTGGATGTGGGCTTGTGCTTGGGGTGATGCCTGGCCTTGATTCTTGCTTGAGCTCTTCGACTGCCTTCTGGTTATGCTTGAGATCTGCCCATAAGATGCGGCCTTTCGCAGTGGCCTTTTCCATCTCCGTGCGATGAACTTCGTCACCGACAGGGGGCACGAAGATGGTATGCCTCATCAAGTTCATATACTCCTGCAGGCTTGATCCTGGAGGTCGTTCTGGCATGGATTCCGTATCGAGGACTGAGAAGAGGCTTGCAATGAGATCGTCTTCAGTAGACTTCTTCGCCGCGGCCTCCATGACCGCCTCCTTCAAGAGACGCTTTCCCGCAGTCACCTTGGGCCACTCGTTGGGATCGTTGTATACCGTATTGCTCAGCCCCCAAACGCCATCCGGCTCAAGCCCGACCAACGGAACATCATCCACGTCAGCAGCTCTGTTGCTCACAATGGCGATGCCTTCGTTTTTTCGTTTCAGCTTGCTGCATACCATCGAAAATCCTCCCACGCCCTTGACGCCGCCATCTTGGACAAGCTCATTTACACCCTTCATTATTCCCTCGTCTGGCAGCCCTCCAAGCCACATGTTAACCATGCGGCCTCGGCTTTTGATGCCATGTATTGGATGTTGAGCGTCATCGCTGTCGACTTCGCGATAGTTTGTCAGCACAGCCAAGTTGCCCGTCTTGGTAATGCCTAGCCAAGTGCCCTTTGCTGCCCGCTGGAGGTCCCGCGAGGAAAGAACATCGGTGCCTGATTCGGGATGCGTCCACCAGTGCGGTCGAGAAGTAGGTCGCAGAATGAACTCATCACGGTTGTCGATGAGAATGAGCGAGTAGTCTGGATGCGCTGTTGTGAAAATTACGATGCACATGACGTTGGATTACTGCTGTTGTGTTGCGTGGATGAGATTTGGATGGTGAGTTATAGTTTCGGCGAATGCCGCCCACAGCCGTTATTATAAGGTTGAATCAATGATGGGCCGACGTCGGCGCTACGAGGATGAGATGGGTTGAACAACACCTAAAGAGGATCCAATATGAACGTCTCCTTTCGTTTTAAGCTTTTCGGAACATCGCCAAATCAATTCAGGGATTGGTGCCACCGCATGGTCTTACTCATATCATGGCAGTGCCAAGACCTGGGAGTCCGGCGCCAACCGGGCTTACCTCATGAGACCCGCAGTCGAGCCGATGCGCTGATCAAGATCATGAGATCAGCTGGTGGCCAGTCGTCAAGGATCCCATCGTCATTGCCGCCATTATCGGGGTATCAGTCTACATCTAGGAGAATCATATATGTCGATATCATATATGTCGATGGATCTCACAATCGTTCGTTCGAACCAACCGGCAGCTTTCGCATTACATGGTTTCGACTTTGGCGTCGGCTGACGTGACGCCTGTTTGCCTAGTAAAAAGGTCGCAAGCCATGCAACGATGAGAGACTAAGACAGCTACAAAGGTGCGGGAGGCAGGCGCCAATGCATTTTGCGAAATTTAAAACCCTCGGTGTAAGGTATCTGAACGAATCCCCTCGCTAGACAGCGTGTGTCTTCGACCTCTAGGCAGCCATGGCTGTATCTCCTTTTGCTTTTCCTTTGTGCTTCTACTGCGGTGGCTTTGTGGGATGTGTCGCAAATATTCGGGATCTTATTTTTAGAGCGTATAAATGGCCCACATGTTAATGCTTTGTACGTCCAACTGAGGATTACGCACTCTGATCAACAAAGAAAATTATGACGAGCATTCGATGCTCAAAGACACATTGTCGGAGAATAATAATGATGTCACCGACGATGACTTTTTTCAAATTGTTGTTTGCCCTTCATCTATCAGCATTGTCTCTTATTATTATGAAAGATAGGCGCGAACATGAACAAAGCTTTATAATAACAGCTTGAAAGTGTGAGATTCTTTCAATCTCTCGCGCTCAAGATTCTTCTTTGGAAGAATTTATTTCTTTTCTCTTTTTTTTTCCTTTCTGAAAATAGTTTCGAACAGAACATCGAAGACTGGCACAGACAGTAGAGAATATATAAGCAGGGCTTACGTACCCTCTCGAGAATGCCTCAAATATATTTGCATTACTCTTTTCAATCTTCCAAAACTACATCTACTATTCATTAATCTGCGGTTAACCTACACTTATAGCCATGGAACGAAATCTTATCGATGGAGGTCAAAAAACCTTCGGAGCATTACTTACTCTAGGATACCGCTGAGCCCCATTCATCACTCAAAAGTCAACAGTAGATGGTGGCTACGTCATTCATAAGCCAGATCACGGTATTATTATCATCCTAGGAGAAGAGCCGAGGAGAGGTTGCGTATATGATGAATTCGATGGCAACGTCCTAGACAACATACGGCACGTCATATACTGCACAGCTCGTATTGGCGTCAAGAGTGCTCAATCAAGCTGTGGACTCGCAAACGACTACAACTTCATATTTGCTGTTACCGACTTTGAGAAATTTCGGAATTTGGTCAAGTCAGGGCGAGAAGATTTTGATTGGCTCATCTACAATACTTATGTAGACGCTCGAAAGGACGATGGGCCCCTGAGCAAGGCGCCGTATCCTGCTCCTATCAACTTCACGAAATGGGAGAATGTGATTGGCGTCGAGATGCTGACCCCATGCCCAAGGTTAAAGAAATATCTTGAGATACAGGAGGAATACTATGGCTGCGACGGGGAAGAGACGGAATGTATTGACACGGCAGCAAGGGAGCCTCAAGGTCAGAGAGGCGACCAACAGTTTCAAGCCATTGTTGATAAATTGCTATCACATCTTTTGAGATTATTTTGATTTTGGGTTTATCTATCCTTGATGATTCCCTACACATCTTTTTGTGGCAGTTGCACTATCCGCTATTTTCGTTAACATGTACTTTTCTCCAAAAAGTCACCTTCTACCACGGGTAAAAACATTGATGATCTCTGGTAGACTAGAAAAAGAGAAGAAGAAGCAGTCGAAATATGTTTAGTTGAGTAGTTAAATTACATTGAGAATTTAGTTGAACCAGCGCCCTCTGCAGCCGCACGTACAGTCGCTCTGAAACATATTTTGAAGCTTAGAAACTCCCGCCAAAAGGCACGCAAGTATGAAGAAGCATATGAAATCGCTTGAGTTGGGTGAGAATGCGGTTCGTTTATGGCTCGATTCGTCTTTGGTACTTGTCTCCATAATGACTCACGATTTTCGCAATATCGAGAGGTAGAAATCCCGCCGCGAACGATCATCCGTTTGCACGCTGCATTACAGGATGACCGGTTGCACTTTGAGCGGCGCTTCGCCCAGAGCCACGCCATCGCTAAGATTGGTTGTGCATAGGGAAAGCTATGCGGTGCTAAATCTCAGATTGTTGTAATATATTGAGTCTGATGTCAAAATTTGCTTCGGGGTGAAGGCTGAATGGCCATACATATTGCGTTCGAGGGCTTGCCTCCACCCTGTTTGCGTTTGCTCAGACAGGCTGCACAGGGCCAATGGGACGGGCAACTTGACTACTCGACTGGCATGAGAGTTACTAGACCAATGGAAGAGCAACATGTGAGATGCACTTCTCACGGCGTCCAGCCACTTCGCTGGGGGCGATAGGAAGGCCCCGTACATCAGGCTGATGAAGTCCATGGCCCCAGAAGATTGACATGATGGATGAATGATTCTGCAAAAAGAAATGACGTCCTCGTGGAACTTTCACGTATGCAAACGTCACCGCAGCCCATGGCTTGCTAATGGCGGTGAAGACCTTTATAGCTACCCGATGTTTTTTTTTTTGTGAAGGAGAAGACGTTTGTTGCTTGGTATTTCTGGGGCTTCTACCAGCTGTATACGCAGTCACTGTTTATAAACAAATTCAAAAGATGATGAGGTTGGATGCTCCTATATTATCATCTACTACTTCCCATTTGATGATGTCAGTAGCATATCAGATTCTTCGACCCAGACCATAGCTAGCATTGAGAGCGTCTCGGTAAGGCCAAATTTTAACAATTCATCTCTCCGTGCCAGTAGGAAGGAATTTGAAGTCCAGAAATGAAATTCTACACGCAGAAACTTGGAGAACAACGTGTGGTTAAAGTAGATGTTTGGCCTCACTGATAACGCCACGATACAAAGTCCACTGCAAACAGGTGCTCTGAACAAGGCGAAGGGCTTTCTGTATGGTTTTCTGGTTGAGTAATACAGATGTACAAGGAAACGTGGTCTCGAAGAGATCAACTCACTTCGTCTACATTTATTCGGCCTTGGTAGGCGTCGCTCCGCTCATTGAGAGGGAGTTGCTGGCGAATATATGTAAGGAGCGGATCTAAGCTAGATTAAAATGGTAGGCAAGCCTAAGTGATAGAGATGGCCTCAAGTGTCAATAAATGATTGATGAATACTGGTAACAGTGTCTTTTAAATTTGGAAGCTGCTACCTTTATATTGTGAACTTAGCAGACTCGACGATACGAATCATCATGTGACAAGAGGCAGAGAGAAAGATGTTGGCTGCCATACAAGCTGAGTTTAAATATATGCATAAGGCTTATTGGCTAAGAGAAAAGAGCTGTTTCCTGAAACAGGTTCCAGATACTCTCAACATTCGAAATCCTACCTCAGCTCAACAAGTCTATTGTTAACGATTAGTGAACAAAAATTGGACTATGGAATGTCTCTAACCCTTTGTGCTCTGGTAGAAAGTTGCGCCAACTCAAGAAATGCTCTTCTGGTGACCCTCGGCCGATGTTCCGGCGAAGCAGTAGATGGGAAATACTATTAGATACCTCCTTTTGATGTTGTCCATCTTCAAAGTGGCGAGCCCCAATGAACCGGATGTAAGACGTTGAGAATTGCCAGATAGTACAGACTAGGCTTGCATTACGGGGGGCATTACTGGGAAAAATGTCCGACTCCAAGCTGTTGACTCCACTTCAACACTCTGTCATCAAGCCCCCACTCAGTTTCTTCCCGGCTTTAGTCAGGAGAGAGCAGCCTCAACACCAGCCTTTACTATTATCAACGTGCTTTGTTGGGAACAAGAGACCTTGACTTAAGAACTTCCACTTAACTCAATGCACAAATGAGAGGGTTTAAAACAAACAGATACGTGTTTGTTAAGAAGCAACGTGGCTGGCACAACTAGAGAGAATACATCTGTTCTCTGAACTAGAGTCTGCTGCGAACAAGATCTTGGTAAGCTGTCAGACTCAAAACGCAAAAACGCATCTCAGCTCATCTATCTCTATCCCTTTCTCTTTTCTCTTTTTCTTTCTCTCTGTTTCTTCTAGATCTGTTAGCAAAAACATTCCATTTCACCATTCTTGATTTTGTTTAATCCCCTTCGCCATGGCTGAAACTCAAGACCCGCCTACTCGGCGCACATATCAAGGCAGTTGCCACTGCGGCGCCTTTGCTTACGAGATCGATCTCACGGAACTCAAAACCGTTGTAGATTGTGACTGCAGCTTCTGTAGCCGCAAAGGCAATCTCTATTTCCTGACGAGTGAAGAGGACAACTTTAGAGTTGTCAAGGGTAGCGAAGAGAGCCTCACGTCTTACACGTTTGGCCCGGGGAACAAGATCCACAAGGTAGGCAGCCCACAAACAAACACTATCAATATACTATAACGTTCAATTGACCACGTCACTTTATAACAACTACTGACACGAGTTACCTGATAGTTCTGCCCTAAATGTGCTACAAGTATACTTTCGAGGATGCCCAAGGGCCCTCCGCGTCTACAGTTGCTGTTGAATGTGAGTTGTGAGCCCCGCCTACCTTGCATAGGATTGCGAATTCTCACAAAACATCAAAATGAACAGGTACGCGCCATACAAGGTATAAACATCAATCAAATAGGAAGAAGAAAGTAAGCAGAAAATAACTTTGCCATCGTGGCGGAAGGTTTCACACATAAGATTAACAGTTCTATTACAGCATCTTCAATTCCAACCTCGACCCGCAATATTCCCCTCCGGCTTACAAAGGAGACGTGCCATCCACCATTGAAGGCGGCCAACTCTACACCGGAAGCTGCCATTGCGGTGCCGTGACCGTTGCTGTCTCGTGTAAGCCTTTAGAGTCCGGCGAAGAGAGAATAGCAGAATGCAGCTGTGACATTTGTCTGCGTGTAAGTGCCCATTCTGTTCATCTTGCTCAATTTTCTTTTTGGTTGTTCTCAACAATCTTGTTCATTCTAATATCTCGAACAGAATGCATGTGTTTGGATTTCTCCAAACTCCGAAAATGTCGTCCTCTCAGGATCTGAAGATGCCATAGGCCGCTACGTACTCGCCGATGGCCGGACGAGCAAAGTATTCTGCCACACATGCGGTGTCAACATGTCAAGTTTCAGGAACGAACTCTCTGAAGAGGAGATGATAGAACTGGATGAGCAGAATCTTCGGGCCTATAAGAGAGGCAGAGCGCACTATCCGATTAACGTGCGAACGCTGCATGGAGTGGACGTGGGGAAATTAAAGAAGATCATGAACGAGACTATGCCTTGCCGGTTACATTTGTGAAAGCTTCAATAAAGACGTCGCCGGTGGAAAATGCAAAGCGGCGCATCCTAATATAAAGTAATACAAGAAATAATGGACTCTAGAACATCTTATGCATTTATATATTAGTATTTTTCCGCTGCAAGCACTTATTTGTCTCTCGGGTAGTACTCAATATCCCTTCGACAGTAGATTGGTTTACTTAATTTCAGTTGTCGCATATTTCGCACACGCAGACGCTGTTATCTTCTTTAGATCTAAATGGTGGATATAAATCGCCAACAGATATTGTGCCTTGTAAGCCAGCTCGTGTGAGAGCCGCCGTAACGCACTACTTCCATATAAACAATCAACATCGGAAAAGAAGAACCAATCCGGTACTACAAGCGACATTGTTTCTCCTAGTCTGCGTATGCGTTTATATAAGCGTGGCACGTTTACTTTGGTGATCGTTGGCATTGAGCTTGTTACCCGCACATAGGCATCTCCAATTCTCCAAAGAGGGGTTCAGCGTGACAATGGAGCGCAAGTGAGCTTGCCCACGCGGGATGATGGGACTTATAATGGCGAATCACGGGCAAAGCGGCTACATTTTCACCCATAAGATGTCGCTGAACGCTGCTAACTCGACGGTGGAAAGAGGCGAGAGTAATGCGACAACTGAGATCATCTTGGGCAGCCTCGGCTAGAGCAGGAACAACTGCTCTCATGGCCAGTTCAGTTAAAGAACTTACCTCCTAACTCCGTGGCCTCAGCTTTGCTTTTGGCATTTAATCCACCACTCGTCAAGCAGCTCGTGTCCACGCACCACGGTCCGCCATGGCAGTCAGATGCAACTCGGTTGGGAGCCCGCCGTTGTCTGTGCCATAGTACGTATCGTGCGAGTACCCGGGTCACGGAACCATGCTGCGAATGGTACTTGTGGTATAGAAGGCCTCGTGACTTGCCACCTAGGCAGCGTGTACTCGAGAACTGTGGGCAAGCGTTGATGGCTGTTGGCGATCTGCCCAGCTTTGGAGGCTGCGAAGCAAACGAGGCGAGACTCTGACTGGTACCGTCTCACAGCCCAAATCAGGAGGCTTGCAGTGACGTAGCTAAAGGACCCTAGGGCCGCTTCCCCGGATTGCCAACATTGCCCCGCCGGTTTCCAGGAATGGCTCGACGTAGGCCTACGGCTACATACGTACTGCAGGACGCATGCACGGTCTTCCGAGTAATTTCGACTGCTTGCGGGCTGAGCCAGACCAGATTTGCCACAACCACAGCCCTTTTGGCTCGTGAAGAGGCTTTGGCCCAAGGAATGAGTGGCACTTTGGCTTGATCATGGGCTCTCGCCGTTAGTTGGCTGGCCATGGCATCGTCGATCACTGCCTTTTACCGTGGCATATTGCTTGACTGCCGCTTGGCTACCTCTTGCCATGTCTCTCTCCTCGATCGTTGGAACACCGTATGCCTTTTTCGTGCGGAGTGACAACTCGCATGTCGAACGCCTAAGCAAGAAATCAGCCGGGTAGGACGGGAAAGAGACGCGGCTCAATTTATACGACAGGGCGAAATGATGCATTACCAAGTCGTATTAGTCGTTAGCCCGTCAAACCACCATTATTAGGCAGCGGCAGAGCAGCTTGACACCAGCATTTTGATAATACTAGCAGCTATCTTCCAAGCAAATCCCTGCCGCCACCCTCCTGGCTGCATGCACAGCTTCCCCGCACGTTTTGGAGATTTGGGTCGCCCGCCGCAGCGCTAACATTGGGAAATCGAGCCCTAAACTCTGACTATTCAGCCACTGGATGTCTCTATGCTTACTTCGAATTCTTCGCTGCCGTGTTTAGGCCGCTGTGAGCGCGTGGGGGATTGACCTGTTTTTTTTTTTTTGAGATGTGAGCAGTTCTCTCCAGAATCGGGTCCAGACCTTTTTCTTCTTCTTTCTGCCGGCTCGAAAATAAAAAAAAGAGTCATGCGATGAGGAGACTGAAGAGCAAAAGCATGCCACGTACGACCCAGTTCTCTCGTGATGGCGATTCCCTGTTTTCTCCTGAAATTCGGGAGTTGTCGGAAGGGTGCGCGACTGTGTGAGGCGATGAGGCGTGTGAGCGGGAAAGTAATAGTGATTATCCTCCAAAGCTTGGAAAGCAGCACGTGCACGCCCATTTCCAACCTTTGCTCCTTAGCCACCAAAGGCAAAAACAGAAATGAAGTGTCAAGCCCATACGAGTAGTACTAGCAAATGGAATCTGGATTGCATTTACCCAGAATCAGCACAAGAAAAAGACTGAAAATCCAAAAACAAATCGAGCCCCTCTTGGCGCCTTCAGGGTCGTCGCTCGCTGCAAGATGCGCCCCGCGGGCCCCAATCGCAGCAGCGCAGCCCGTTCCCTGAAGCAGATCCATGGAGCCTGGGGAGCGACTGAGGAGCGCTGTAGAGCCCCCCATCCCTGCGCCGGTGTGGACGCCACTCGCGCTACCGCGCAGCTTCTATCAAGGCGGCGCAGCTGGCCAATCCCACCCGCCAATTGTGCTGAGGCGGCTCATGACAGACGGAAATGCGTCATCAGAACTCGCGATAAGTCTTTGCTGTCTCGGGCTGTCTGTTTCAAGCACCTTCTAGTCTTGGTATTGGCAATCATCGCTCCGAAAGGCTGCGATTTCACACACCCTTCGTCTTTTCCCCTCTCTTCGGCTATGTAGCTTGGCAAATATCCAGCCGTTCCGCGAATCCCAGACCGTTGCCTGCCTTGGCTGTAGTACATGATGTCGATGCATATAGGTAGGTACATGCATACAGACACTACTGTGGCCAAGCCGGAACAGGATCTCGTACCAACGAGACCAAGCTTATTTGTATTTATAGTAGTTTTATGTAGACCTGGCTGTAACCTTGGCTTTATTAAGTTCCAGCCTAAAGGGAAAAGAGGGTTGTCTTTTTCATATGCCACGCCTCTTAGCCCATCTCATCCCACCATGGCTCAGACACTGGTGCTGTTCTGAAACTATAATAAGCCTTCTTCCTCGTCCTCTTCCATCTTCTCCTCTGCCTTGTCTCTTTCATACTCACTTCATCTTGAACACAATCTCCCACTAGAATCACACTCTCTTCAAGATTCGAGAATAAAAAACCAAACACTCCTCACTTTCACCAACCAAACAAACATGCCTGCCTACGAGTACTGTTGCCAATGCGGTGGCATGATTGTCATCAGCACCACCTGCACTGGATGCGGCCACAAGCAGTGCTCTCACTGCCCCATGTGCTAAATTTCTGTACGACAGTCTAAAAGCATCTTCTGAACGAGGTTTGTCTTTTATAAAAGTCCTCGATGCTTGAAGGGCTGAGCTAACGCCGCTTGAACAGCATCACCACTTTGAAAACGACACATTATGAAAATATAGTCTAGCAGGCGTCAAATATTCGCCAAAGAGCCTCTTTCCTTCTATACGACATACTTCTTTTCTCAATTTTTACTTTTATTCTCGGAGCAGAGCTCCCTTGCGATACCCTTTTTAACGAAACTTTCTTCTCTCTTCACTTCTTAGGGCTACTGGGAATCTTCGGCTACGGAATTATCGTTTGAATGGCGATCTTCTCTATCTTTCTTCTCTATGTGTGTTACTAGCTTGCGATTTTACTTCGATTTACTGGGAGCAGGATGAAATAGCTTAAAGAAATAATTCCAAAAACAAGATGAAAGAACTTCAAATAAAAACCATTCAAAAACCAATTTCTCAGCCACCTGTCCGTCCATACACATCACAGTACGCATCTGGTTCTTCCTACCTTCTAACAGCTCTATTACATCAATTCTTATCCTAAATCTCAAAACTCCCTAATCATAAAATACGTCTTACTCTCCACAGGCCTCTGCTTAATCTTAAAGCCCTGCTTCTCATAAAACGGCACCACCTTGCCATTATCCCCCGCCACGCCAATCCAGATCCCCTTACTCACGCTACCATCCCGTTGCGGAACGTCCCTGATACTCTCCACGAACCGAGAGATGAGCTGCTTGCCCCATCCCTGGCCCTGATACTCATCCAGCAGATCAATGTGCATCGTCGCCTTATACTCCGCCAACAGATCCGCGTTGCCATCCACCAGCAACAGATGCGGGTTATACGCCAGCCGCGACAAGACGACCTCGCTGACGCTCCCATCCGGCAGAAACAGCGGCTCCTTCAGCTCCAGGTCGTCTGGGCGCGTCACCTCGGGCGAAGGGTCAAGCACCTGCGTGGTGTAAGAGTCGTACGCGGCCACAAAGGCCGAGATGTCAGGACACCCAATGCAGTAGCCCACGGGCCGGCCGGAGCCGTCGTCGACCACGAAGCACGTCGTGGGGGAGAGGTGCGTGTATTGGTGTGTCCAGACGTATGGGGCCAGGCGGCGGCCGGGTATGGACGGTAAAAGGGCGGGGTTGAGGGTTTCACGGCACTGCGATTGAGAGCTGGTTAGAGACAAGATGGGACGAGATTTAGGTGCATCGGGATGATGGGATTGAAGCATAAGATGAGATGGGACGAAACGAGATGAGATGGTTCTAAGCGTACAATGTGAGACATGCCCTCAAAATCAGAGGGCTTATACGGCCGAATAAACGCCATGGCTCAGGAATGACTCCAATTGGCAACTCCTACAGCAGAATCTATTTCACCGGTCGTCAGAACAGTTTCTCTCATGCATGCGGCGGACTGGATTCTGGCAGTCTAAGAATATCAACCCCGCATTATGTGTAAATCAGTAGACTCAACTTATGAAAGAGAGACGACGCACCCCAGGAACATACACTCAGAAAACGATTGCTTGTCGAAAGCACAAGGCGGCTGGCTTCTTTCATGTAAATGAAGATACTAATACACATAAACGATGAAAAGAGATTATTAACTATCAACGATGCACGTCGCTATTTTGAAGTCGTACAAGCTTACGTGGGGGATAAAAAAAAAGAGGAGATGCTACAGACCGAGAGACACTGTCTTTCCCCGAACTTGACACTAAAACACAGCCCGTACCCGAAGTAACGTAG